ATTGTGAGCGAGACGGAGAGAAAATCTTCAATTTTATGCTATCTTACAAGACAGCTTAACATTTACAGTTCAAATTACATAAAATATAACATGTCAAATAATATATCAGAAGATGCAAACCTCAAAAAGAAATGATACATATATATTTATTCTTATAAGATTAATTTTATTTACATAAAAATTTATTTATAAGATTAATTTTATGTCTATATGTAAAAATTGTTTAATAATGTTTTAATAATTTTTTATATAATGAATTGAAAATTGAAAATTTACATAATAAATTGAAAATAATTACATATGACACAATTATATATGACTCAAAATTTTTCTGTCGAGCTTACAATTTGAATCTTCTGTTAAAAATTGCAATAAAATTAAAGTCTATTCTACATACAATACACTATTCGAATCTCCTTCGCAATCGAAATATGTTATATCCCGCGTGATGTGATACATATTTAACGTATTTACAGTCGGTGCGGAACTTGACATAAAAGTCAGGCAGTCCTGACATTCATTTATCGCGTGGCTTACTTTCGGCGATACACCCTTTTGGCGATACGTATGCATGACAGATTTTATGGGCATCAACTGTGCGCATAGAGAACATCGTGCCATCTGTTATTTCGTGGTCAGGTGGAAAATTTAATGATCGTCGCGATGCGTTAGAAAAATATCGCGCACATCGATCAAGTCTTTATACGCGTAGACTTCCGTCGACATATCTGATGCGTAAAATGTGCGTATATATGTACATACATGTATCTGCCTCACGAAAAACTCATGAAAGCGATCGATTAAAATGGTTGCGCCAAATATTTTTTTTAGCAAACATTGATCTATCGCCCTGAAAAGGAGGCTAAAACACGAACGAAAATAGAGGAAATAAATATATAACATATAAATATATTAATCCGAATATATAGAGCTTAAGTGAATAGATTTAACAAGTTAATAATAAATTTTGAATAAAGAAAGATAATAATACCTACTAAATTACAATATTTATAGTAAAATATAGATAGTGCTAAATTAAACGAAAAGTGAATTAATATCTCAAATATTTTATACGAAATCATTATATATGAGAAACATATATATGCGTAAAGAATAACTCAATAATAATATCAATTATCTATTATCTATATTTTTAACAATTTATAACGACAATACAGGTTCTTTACAAGAAAATTTATTTTATAAGTAATTTTTCAACATAATTTCTCTTGCTTTTCGCGGCTGATCCATCGAACTATTACTCGAGGAATTAAATGCTCGAAAGGATTAATCAATTGAAAGTAGAGAAAAAGGATTTCGTCCTTTCATATTCACAGCTGCAGTTTTCAAAATCTCTATATGCGTTTGTATACAATCGATCTGTACGGTCGAAAATGCACGATCGTTAAGAGGAGATCGTAAAAAGGAAGAAATAAAATGAGAAGAGCGGAAGAGAGAGAGATATATATATCTCGCGAATGATCTCAAGATTATAAAATGGCGTCCCTCATCCCCGTGATCGTTCTTAATTTCGCTGGATTCCTTTTGTGTCCTGTCGTCCTCCTTCCCTCCTCCGCGCCTCCTTTTCTCTCCCTTCTTCCTTTTTACTCCCAGCCAGCCGCTATCCTTATTTACTGCCGGCTCCTCTCGTTGCTTACCGAATCGAAGGGAACCAGCAGCCCGGGCTCAAAGGAACTCTCGAGGGATGATTCGTGAATACTTTTGCGCGACGATTCCAATGAATACAGCCGCCGCGATGCATCGATAATCTGCGACGGACCAGCAGCGTCGAGTTATTAAGCAACACGACATATTTTCAGGGATTTTCAATACCCGACACAAGAGAATGAGGCTTTCCCCAGACTGTCATCTTACTATAAATCTGTTTGCTTGCAATACACGATAAATATATTATACGATTCTCCATTCATTCACATTAAAACACATGTCACGTGACGTCGTAAATGTCAGTCTCTCTTTGTAGACGATATATTTTCAAGAATTTGTAATTAAATTAGAATTTCGCTCATTTTATGATACTATTTATGAATCACGCTTATGAAAGATCTAACGATAAATAATGACGCGAAAGTACATAACGTATTTTTCAATATCGCTAATATGCTCGTATCGCTTTGGAATGGAAAATAAATAGTCCAGGAAAGCGAGCATATCTCGATCTTTTGCGTATCAACCTAAATGCTAGATACCAGAAATCATCCCCGCGGAAACATACAATCTAACTTTCAACAACGCGCGAATAAAAAACACGCAAAACATGTGCAAAAAAAATCGGCTTGCATCCAACGGCGGCATCTGACAGCATCTTCGGTCTCGCGTCCGAAAGGATTAAATATCGCCCTCCACCGTCAGCGACCGACGACGATGGTCGGCCTCGTCTCTCTCTCTCTCTCTTTCCCTCTCTCTTTCTTCCCTCCAAGATCCTCATCCCCTCGCGCAACGGGGGTGACTTCGGCGCACCAGAGTCGAATGGCGTGCGCCATATTAGAGGCGGTCGGGTGTCTCTCCAATCGGCACCCACGCCAGCATCCGGTGGGTGCCTCTGCACCCAATAATCCAGGCATTCGCCCCACCGATCGGCCGCCACACCCATGAATATCACGTGCGCACGAGCAACATCATCGCCAGCAAGGCAGTCGAGCGCGTACCCTTGCACTGTACTCGTCATATCGCAGATCTGTTTTTCACTTTCCTGCAAGTGATACCGTTCAAGGGAGCATTGCTCCGATAAGATAAAGTTGATTCGTTTTTTTCTGCATCCTCGACTCGTTAACAAGCTCGTAGACGTCGCACGTTCGACGCCAGAATTATATCCAAGAGATGATGTACTTGAAGAGCTCTTATTTCAACGAGCTTCGAGCAATTCGTAGATCCGAAGTATCTGACCGAGAAACTAGTTGCACGATAGATATGGCTGGTGACTCTGCGAAATTTGTAATCAATAATCTTTGAAGGAAAGTCTCAATGAAATGTGTCTTCATCTATTCCATGCAAGGAAAGTTACTCCGGAGGAAGTCGTTCCTACGATTGAAGGCTCGAAGCTTTTTCTCCGCTGCCTACATCTCGGAGATATATCTACAAAGATGCCGTCTTGTTCCACGCAGTGCCTTTAGGAGATATCGGACATCTCGATAAAAAGAATCACGATATTGCGGGAAAGCGCACGATATCAGCCTCGCAGCGCGATTCGTTCGCCGAGAGGTCGCGAATGCGGTAGATAATATACAGCAGGGAGTGCGACTGTGCAAGCTGAGCAAGTGGCAACAGTTATGACCAAGATCAGACTGGAGTTGTTGGGGTGCGAGGCTCTTCCTCTGGAAGGGATGTACCGATCGCAGCGGCATAACGTTTTAACGCCGCAGAGCAGCCCGGAGTCACGCAACATTCGCCAAGAACAGCGCAATGGCTCGGATCTTGACAGTGTCGGTTCTATGATATCACACGGCATGTACCCCTTAGATCAACCTGCCATTGATCTCGATCGTCTGCGTCACCTCCCGGCGATCCTTCACCGTAAGTGCCGACGAACAAGTCCCGAGTGATAAAAGTTCCCCGATATTTCTCGAATTGTTCTTTTCTTCTAATTGCTTAGGTCTATTATCGGTGTTAGAGATACACTTAGAAGGAATGGACATTACGTTGAGGTCACGTAGCAGTTCAATATTCTTGATTTTGAACATATTCGGGTGCTAAGATATGATAGTTATTATATGTCTGTTACCTGAGAGGGTGTCGAAAAAATCGAATATCTCTGTAAAATTTATCTCTGTAAAATTTATCCTTTTAGAAGGTATTTTTTTCCTCTTCTCGTTAGATAGATAAAATAAAGAATATTTGGAAAATAGATACGTACATCGCTAATGCTCGGCTGTATCTGTATATTATCGAATATTTTGAAGATAATATCAGAAATAATTATATATTTACATGATTTTTAAGCCTGGAATTTACGAAATAAACTCTGAATACGCACGCACACATTAACAGCGTACATTAATTTTATAGATTTTTTAAAAAGAAAAGATAGATAAAATAGTAATAATATAAGAATTATAACACAAATAAATAATGAAAATATCGATTAATTATTTCCGAATTATAAGTGATTCAAAAAAAGAAGAGCTTTCCGCAAACTTTATATGAAATGAAAAGTTTATCAAAGCTATATTCTTCAATTTCTTCAAGTAAAATTTAATGGAATTTTAATAAATTTTAATAAATTTAAATTTTATAGATTTATAGTAATTTTTATGTTAAGTTTCTACGTTGTGCGAAAGTTTGTATTCGAATTCAAAAATTGTCATTCTTTATTCATCCTTTGAGAGAATATTAATGTTGCGGCAATATCGATTTAATTGTTACTTTTTAATATTGGCATTATTTCAGATATTACTAAGATATTATATAATATACTGCGATTAAGATTGACTATGTATTTCAATTCAATGTGTGTCTCGCACACATGCATAATAAAATATGTATTATTTTAAATTCTATTAATTATATATTTAAATAAGTATACAGAATTATCGCATCATCTGCTAATGACAGATTTTTATAATCATTTGAAGATTTTCTTTTTTATTTAGCAAAAATATCGCGGCAATCATCATTTTTTACAAGTTTCCAATTTTTATCATCATATATCTTTGTAAATTAAATCTTAAATTAAAATTCTATTAAATTTTACTTGAAGAAATTGAAGAATATAGCTTTGATAAACTTTTCATTTCATATAAAGTTGTGTTTGCGGAAAGCTCTTCTTTTTTTGAATCACTTATAATTCGGAAATAATTAATGCCTCGATATTTTTATTATTTATTTGTGTTATAATTCTTATATTATTACTATTTTATCTATCTTTTTTTTTTATATATTTATGCTATGCTATCATAATTAATGATATCTTATACTACACTTTTCGTTGTGCTTTGTATTAGAAACTTTGTTTATTCATCGTCTCGATCTATATGTTACAGCCACGATACCAAAATGCGGTGGATGCCAGGAAGTTATTTTGGACAAATACGTTTTGAGGGTTCTTGAGAGATGTTGGCACGCAAGATGCCTTACGTGTCGGGATTGTGGTGCCAGGTTGACCGACAAATGTTTCGCGAGAAACGGTCACGTGTTCTGCAAAGATGACTTCTTCAAGTAAGCACCAATAATCGTTATCATAAATTTAACCGCATAAATTAAGTGCAAATATTATTTATATTCTATGAATTAAAGTTTCGCAAAATTCTGTCCATATTTCAATAACATCGATTACATTACCGTTATGCAATATTTAATTATTGCAATTAGCAGATAATTATTCTCTTTTCAAATAATTATTTTAATTATTTTCCGTGCGCATCATAAATTTATAATATATTTAACATATTTATAAAAACTCTATCTTTATATGTTAAAAGATTATTTATCACAAATCATCCAAAATATTTTTCGCGATTCATTAATATCATTAATTCATCTCCTAGTTATAATCATTAATTATATCAAGAAAATGATTTAACCTCGATATAGAATTATCAAAGAAAGAAATACAAAATTTTCTCTTTTTTTCTTTCATTCGATACTATTTGTTTGACTTATCCTCTTATCGATAATAGCGAAGTATATATGACAAGATATAGAAAAAAATATATTATTTTTCAAATTATATATATGGAGTATACTGGTATCGATTTTCTGTCGAGAGGGTGTTTTTTTTTCGTAAAATGAAGTGTCATTTTTTCCTTATTTATTCGAAATTAAATCGGCTTTCTCTTATTCTTTTTCATATCTTTGTCAATGTTTCATTTTCACCTTATTATAGGATTATCTTTTTCATAATTGCATTCCAACATTAAAATGACAATAAAATTAAATTAATGTAGATTGTCGTAGATTGCAATAAGCAGGACTATGATTCTGTAATATATAATCGCTATCGCTGTGTCGTATCCGCATCCGATTATCTTTAACGCGATTTGAGGAATCGCGATAAAACTGCGCCAACCGTATAGTTTTGTCATTAATGTGTGAATGTAATGTGAAAATATTGTATGTTGTTGGTGTGGCAGGCGTTTCGGGACGAAATGCGCGGGCTGCGGCCAAGGGTTGGCGCCTTCGCAGGTGGTCCGAAGGGCGCAGGAGTTGGTTTATCACCTGACGTGTTTCTCATGCGCTCTTTGCTCTCGGCAACTGGACACCGGCGACGAGTTTTATCTCATGGAAGACAGAAAACTCGTCTGTAAACCTGATTACGAGCAAGCCAAAGCGAAAGGTGATATAATCTTTATGTATCATTATATAACTCTTTCCTGCGAATTTAATTCTCTTACTATCGAGGTGCAATTTTATTTCATTTTGACAACTCACAGTATTTATCATCGATTTAATCTTAAATATCTTTTGTTGTCAATTTGTAAATTATCTTACATATATGAGACAGTAATGAAAATTAGAATGTGATGTAGGATATTATTTGAATACAATAAAATTGGATTTAGGGTAATTTCATGATAATAAAAGACACAATAAAGTTCGGTAAAGTATAAATAACATAAAGACATTTGAATATATATATATATATATATATATATATATATATATATATATGTATGTACATGAAATTTTCTATATAAGATATATAAATATTAAAAATATTTAAATATTTTTAAATTATTCATATTCAATTTATGTTATTTATATATGGCTATTAAATTATTGATCGATTAATTAAAAGTCGCATAAAAGATAACTCAATCGGATTCCAGAATTGGCAGATGGAGGAAGTATAGACGGTGATCAACCGAATAAAAGGCCACGAACAACTATCACGGCAAAGCAGCTCGAAACTCTCAAGCTGGCGTATAATACCAGTCCTAAACCAGCAAGGCACGTGCGAGAACAGCTGTCTCAAGACACAGGCCTCGATATGCGCGTCGTTCAAGTCTGGTTTCAAAATAGGTGAGAAAAATTGAATAGTATTTAAAGAATTTTTCACAAGTTCTTTCCGAGACATTTCTAATCAAACTAGGTATGCGTTCAATATAATATATAGTATATGAGAATAAAAATGGCAAAGAATAAAATTGAAAAAGAATTAAATAAAAAAAATTTCATGAAGAGAAAATTAATGCTGACGAAATCATTAAATTAAAAGCACTCTGATTCATCACCAGGATTCTCCATTAACGTAGCTTCTAATACGGTTTCCGAAGCCATTCGCGAAAGCAATCGAGAGATTTAAAAATGTCGAAAGAATTCATATATTATATTCGAATTCATATATTATATTTCTTTTAACATAAAAATATTAAATAGTCCAATTAACAATTATATCTTAATAAATACTGTAAATGAAACAGAAATATCGTGTTTTTAATTTTCCAGATTATAAATCTAGAATAAAAAAGAGAAGGAGAGATTGTAATAATAAAATTAATGCTACAAATTTTGTTAATTTTAAATTCCACAACCATTGATATTTGATTTCGCAAGCACTGTTACTTTCTAACCGTAGATTTCTCTCTCTTATCGCTCAAGTGGCACTACGTGATATTACAGACAAAGTAACGTAACAAAGTTGTGGAAAAATGGTTTATCTTAAAAATGTTTTATCTTAAAAAGAGGATCGTAGATCGCCGACCTCCGTCGATTATCAGATAGAAATAGTGTTAGAAAGCGGCCGTGAAAATATAACATGAAGGATAAGTAAATAAGACTTCTATCAATGGCTGTAGATAAATATGTATACTATAATATATAACACGTAATATATACGCAAGCTTATAAAATGCACATGTGTAGTGCAATTTTTCAGCGAATTCGAGTCAATATATAACGTAACGCGAGATTAATGTCCGCCTCCTGCTTTGAGACAGATAAGATACATTTTTTTCAGTACACTTTTAGCGAAGCAATAGATCTTCTACGAGATGCTAGAGATATGTGAAAGTACTTATCATAAATATACTCAAGTAATACAATGAATAAAAGCCACTTATCGTTTCAGAATTTATTCTTTTTCCTGATTATATCGGTGCTGGGTATCATCTATTGTACGCGTGATATTAAAACGATGGGAAAAAATTCTGATATAAAAAAATCTTATTTTTCTGATAAATTCTCATCCTTTTTAACAGCATAGAATTCATTATATCAAGAATGAATTACCATACACAACAAATTACATTACAACATTACTATTGCAACACTAAATATTTCTAAAAGTATACAAGAATAAATATCAATGTAATTTTGCGAAATATCATAAAACTACAAATTATGTAATTTGGAGCTTATATCAATTTGTTCAGCAAAATTTTTTAAAGCAATCAGCAATGAAGTAATTATTAATTATCTGTAAAAATTGTTATTAATCACTTAATCTTTATTATATTCTCCATAGGAGGGCAAAAGAAAAGAGGCTAAAAAAAGATGCCGGTAGAACAAGATGGTCTCAATACTTCCGTAGTATGAAGAGCGGTGCTGGCGGTCATTCGCCTAGACACGATAAGCTCCTTGATAAAGACGAGCTGAAGGTAGACCTCGACTCCACCTTTGGCCATCACGGTGAGTTGCATTATTGTTCTATTATTCTTTCTAAAATAAGAAGATAATAAATATACTTTCATACAATATTATACATTAAAGTGTTACAATTCTTCTCGGTTATAAATATTATTCCATAATTAATGATTTTTTTCATACTGATAAAATATCGTAACAAAAATTTTTTACTGCAAATGTGGAACAATTTTAAAAAGGGATTAATTTCAATTCTAGTTAACTTCACAAATATATGGATTTTAATCAAATAATATGAAACTTAATTAAAATAGAATAGAAAATTAAATGTAAGGGAAATGATAATATTGATATTTGTGATAATATTCAGTCTTTTGAAATATGTGAGAAAGAGAAAAAGTCCGTAAAATTATTACATTATATGCAATTTGATAGCTATATTATTAATGAAACTCGCGAAATAATTATATATAAAGTTATTTCTAATAATCACATTAGCCGCTTTCGAAGTAATCCAGACAAGCGATGTATTATGTGCGCGCAGTATTTATTCTCGAATAAGTACAGGTAATAGCAGGCATAAATTCAATGGCCCGCAATCTTCCTGAAATCTCGGACACGGTGAGCCGGCAGTTAGCCTCTGCGATCTCCTGAATATTTGAGAAGATCGTCTTCCCCTCGGATAACAGGCATCTGGGTACTGGGAAGCCCAGACAATGGATGCCGGTCGTTGGCAACTCGACTTTCGACTTCCACAAAGTTACGGCGTTAAAAGACGATTTTCTCATTACGAATAGATAGCTCATCGAAACATAAAAGCACACTCATTTCAGCCAATCTTTATCCAACATTATAATTCAGATATCGCTGTATTTGATTTATATATTGATTTCCAATATTTAGAGTATTTTTAAAATTGCCTTTTTTATTTAATTTTCTGATCCGAAATCTTAGAAATGAAACGATTTGTTTGCAGACTTGAGCAATGATAGCTATGGAACGGTGGTCAACATGGGCCTAGATGGCGAGGGCGCAAGTCCAGGCGGCGGTGGAAACGGGGCCGGGGGTGGACCGCCCCGCGGATATCTGGGAGCAACGACACCTCCGTATCTCTCGACGTCTAGATCGCCGTCCTTACCGCCCCAGTTCCCGTATCCACCGGACGCTGGGCTTTCGGTATACACTACTCTCGGTAAGTTTAAAAAAATACATATATGAATTATTAATAAATATTCTAATAGCGTACGTGTACATTGGTGTAAAAAATCATGTATCAATTTTCTCGATTAATTCATCGGATAGAACTTTTAACTACATATTAATTAAATTTTTACTTTGGATTCTTTCTCAGCTATGAGCTCCGATTTTTGCTCCTTGTCGATGGATATTCTTCTTTTTGTATCAAAAAATTCTATGCTCTTAATTCCTACAATATTTCGAATTGTCCGAATTACTGAATTTTCTCAGCTTTCTTAACTCGGTCTAGTGGTCAATATATTCGGATTAAGATAGAATGAAACTCAAGCTTAAACTATTCCTGTCGTATCGCAAGTTTACGACTGACAGAAAACGTATGATTCCAGGGGGACCGGGCGGCATGGTGCCAGGACCAGCGTCTGATCTGAGTAACGAGTCGAGCGGCGGTGGCGGCGGTGGAGGCGGTGGCGGAGGAAGCGGCGGTAACAGCGGTACCGGCGGTTATCCTGATTTTCCGCCGTCGCCGGATTCCTGGCTTGGTGAGCCACCGCCCCCGCACGCGCACCATCATTCTCATTCCCATTACGCCACATAACCCGCCAAAACCGCGCGTCGCCAAATACCGTATAGAATAACGTGCTGTCGGCGCGGGGCGTACGTCTGAAATCGACGACGCCGTCGTCATCTTCGAGGAAAGTCGAAGAGCGCTCATCTTTTCCGATATTTCCTTGAAAAATGAAAAATGGAAGGTTTTGCAAATTTCAAAAATCTAGGATATGAACGTATTGGATAAAAGTCTGAGTCTATTTTAAGTGTCTTTGATGCAGGATTTATACATGAAAGATCTAAAAGCGAAAGCGCGGTGATAATTTTTGTTCGTCTAAATATAAATGAACTTCTTAGTAACATGATATTTGACATTTTTCATACATTTCTATGGTTTTTTAATATATTTCGTATTGCATTTTGTATTGATAATATCATTATATCCCGGAATAAATTCTTTTTTCAATTAAAAAAGAATTGTCTATTTAAAATAGATAAATTCATTTTTCAGAGAGATTTCACTTATAGTATTAATTATTCTATAATATAATTATATAATTATATGTATATAATTATATAATAATTTATCAAATATTTTCTTAATTTATTGCAAAAATATAAAAATTTTTATAAAACCTACAATAAAAAATTTATATATATAAATAATTATATATATAAATATTTCAATGAGAGATTTGTCACTTAAAGTGAAAGTAGACACTTTTCGCTTTCGGATCTTTCATATTTTCACATTTTCATTCAATTGATAGAATGGATTTGAATGAATTGTTGGTTGAAATTTTTTGAAAATTGTAACATGATGTTGCAAGAGAAGATTCATTGAAGATCACTCTCGATGAAGATATCGTCTTCAACGACGACGGAAATATGATGTTCGCACGAATCGAGTCCACGAGTTATTCTACATCGGTATTTTACACCGTCCCTTCTCATACGATTTCCCGTCATCGACGCCGTGTAACGTTACATTTATGACACACGTACGATTCGCAATTCGATACTACGATTAATCTGAATATATTTATGTACAAGTTCCTCGTTTCTTGGTATTACGGAGTTTGATTGTCGAGTAATAAATAGGAAGTAGTGTTAAACGTGACCCCGGATTGTTCCATAGGGATCGATTTGTCACGATTCGGAACAGAATCCGATTCAGCGATCGTTAATAATTTCTGGATATCACTTTCCATCAATTCATCAATCTCGTTTAATTTTGAATGGAACAAAGAAGTATAGAAAAGAGATTTTATAACATGGACATTTTCGCGATACCAAGATATTGATATACGATGCACTCTCATCGATAGTCGGTCCAGCGAGATGAATTCGCATTATCGTGAACGTGAGCATTCCATTGCCTCTGAGCTTGATTTTCATGCTACAACTTTTCGAGAACACCAGAATAACTGTATAAATTCATAATCTTAATATATATGTATTAATTCATAATCTTAACTGTAAATATTCGTAATTAGTTAATGTTTTAATATGTACATGTCTTATTTCCTTTTGCTATCTCAAAGATGTTTAGAAATATGTGCGTAACCTCAGAGTGAATGTAGAGATAATATAAATTTTTCACAAGATTACATTATATCTTGTTGATTTGTTATTGTTGAAGAAAGAAAATAAAGAAAAACTCTTTGAGATACACTCAATCGAAATAAAACGATTTGTTTCGTTATTTAGGTGATCTCTCAACAAGAATTGAATCTTGAAAATCGGGCGTCGGAGATATGTGATTCACTTTGTTTGCGTGTAACGCTAGAATCTTGAAATGTGAAACGTGTAAATTCTAATTAGACCGATGGGAAAAGCTGAGCCAATTCAAAATGTTCGATTTCAGTTGTTATTCTTTCTTAATTACAGTTGTAAAAAATTTTTGAAGTCATTTTATTTCAACCTGAAAACTATCTACTTGATATAGTTGAATGTGTAAAGCAATTTTGCTTTATTGAATTTTTTGCCTTACTCTTTTTTTACGGAAACTATTAAAAATCGAGCAATTTGAATTAAAAACTTTCTCTAGGGTTGAAGCTGCGTAAAATCATCGACGAGCAAAAGCCGCAACGTAAATATATTACGTTGAACGAGTTATTGACGTGATTACGAAAGTTTTCTCAAACATATGTTGTTCATGCTATCTATTTAAGGCTGCATTTAAACTATTACTGTATTTTATGAAAAATTTGAGAAGTCAATGCAAAGCCACAGAGATCGTCTAATCTTAAAAAAGTTACACGATCTCTGGCTTATGCATTCTACGTTGCTACTTTTGTATGCCGATTTATGCAGTCAATCAACGATCAAAATTATAACTTCGAACTACACCTCGCTCGTCGATATATTACGAGGTTACATAAAGCCGTCGATTAATAGTATTTTATAAATGACAGAAAAAATCGGGAGAGAAATCAGTTAGTCTCGATTCGAGTAAATCAATATGTTGATAATCAAAACAGGAAAGAGAAATGTGTGACTCGATCCTCTTGAATGTACGATAAATGCTAAAAGTAACGCATGATAATAATATGAGGCTTGATTGGATTAACTTCAAGACTTGATTGCTTTTCCTCTCCATCTGTTATATTAATATCTTCAATGATTAATTAAATCATGATAAAAAGAAAATATTTCTTACACATTATATAGTGTTATAATATTTTTATTAATTATATCAATTCTTGAGAAAATGTAAAAAGAGAATCACTGCATGTGATAATCAATCCTTGAAGAGAAAAAAAGATTACACATTTGTCATAAAAAATTATTTCAAAAGATTATTAATATAATTATAATTTCTTATTTAAATTCTGTGACAAAAACAATATTTATGACAAATGCATGTAGAAAATATAAATGGAGTAACAAGAAAATGTGATTTCTTGAATTCATATGCCTCATATTAATATCAAATGACGTGCTTGCGTACAATATGAGCGGTAGTAGCAGCAGAAGAGACAGAAAGAGAGAGAATGTCACTGTAGAATTGTATATAATATGCATAAATATCGTTCCCAACCCTCTCTCCTCTTTTCTGTCTCCCTATCATGCTCTCTTTGTCTTTTCTCTTACCTGCCCTTTAAACGTACGTTTTACATAACAGCGGATTACACGATTATCGCGAAGGGGAGGAAACGGTAAAGAGAAGTATATTAGACTCGTAAAAGAGAGATTAATGTTGTACAGTATAAGAATCGTATTTCTTTCCGCTCCTCGTCGGGTATGCGGCCGAAGAAGTTCGCATGTCTGGCAGAGTTCGTAAACTTCACATCACTATGAGTTATTACGGATCTTTATATTATTATCTAGTCATGGAGTGATAATAAAAATTCTATCATAATCTTACGTCATGCGTGGCTTTATTTCCACACTCCAAGATATATCGTGATATATTAAATGTGAAATTAAATTACTTGGAGATGATAAAATACGAAGGGCAAAGAAAAATATAAAACAAAAATTCGAGACATTTAAATTAACGTAATTAACTATCCGTGTCACATTCCATGTATGTATCATGAATACGCATGTGTGATTGGTACACAAATTCTTAAATATCAATGGCACTTTATTAAGTGGTGGTATTATGTACAGATGCTACATAATGATACACACATGCAGTAATTATATATATATACACACATACGCGTATTTCTGTTATTCATAAAGCAAAATACGTCAATGAACGAAGACTGACTTTAAGGCTGATGCGATTTGCGCAATCATCAGCATTTAGAGCTTTTTCTATGGAAAGAAAATCTACAAAAATGCCTCTTTCTCATTACATCTATATAAAATATATACAAATCTCAATATACAGTATCTTTTTCGTTTATATATATAAATATATATATTTTTTTTTGTAATGAAAATAGCATGTTTCGTTTGTATGAAAATATTCCTCACTTAGAAATCTTTTCGTTTAGAAATTTTGTAATATATCTAGGAATATCGTAATCTTTTGTACCGATATGTATTGATCGTTCTCTCACCTCATCAAAATGAGAAGAGATAAATGAGAAACAGATAAAACACGATATTACATTTGCATGAATAAATAGCTAATCTACGAGAACACAATTCAACAAGTAACAATTATACTTATTTTTTTTTGTTCTTTATGCAATATTTCTCAATCTGTCAGTCTGCAATCTCTATTAATTGTCTGAAGGTTCATCAAATGTCCTCGTTTTTTTCAGGACATTTCTAGTAATCATGAGCTGCTTTATTATTGCCTTTTCAACATTTTTTTTATTCTTGTTTGAAGTTGATAGGTGCTCAAATGTGTCCTCTAGCGCTCTCCTAGTTTTCATCAGTTTTCGTTTTAACGCTTCATTCTCTTGTTTCAAAGTTTCTACCTCATCAAGACCTAAGAATAAAAAAATTACAAAACAATTTAAAATTAATTTTAAAAAATAGCTTTAAATTATATACGTTAATATAAAAATATATTATTATATATTAATAAAATTTTTTACATAAATAATATTTCAAAACGCACCTTCTATTGGTAATGGACTTTCACTGTTTGTATCTCGAGCTCTGTGATTACCATTCCCACTATCTTCATCGCTTAATAAGTTAGTCATAGATTCTGTGATCTTTAATGTGTCTTTTAAAGGCCTTATTGTGGTAACTGCAGCATCACTTTCTATTCCTAAATCTGGCGAACAGCTGGACTTACTACGTCCACCAAGCGTATAATAATTTGTCGATTGCCAGTGTTGCAAATTCTACAATAAATTAAGAAAATCAAAATTTAAATCTTGCGATCACACATGATCATAAAAGTTGAAAGTTTTAAAGAAGGGAACGCAACATTTATTATAATATGTGAATGATGCATACATGCATCTTTCTACTGAAATTATAACAAATTTATTATAATAATGCAAAAATTATGACTATAAATTATATGTAATAATATGTACGTATATATTTAATTTAACGTACAATCATAATGTACAAATCACATTATTAGCATGCACAGTATTCTAATTAAGAGAATTAAATAAAAAAATTCTCTTGTATTATACATGACCAGTATCAAATGCAGTGTCTAATTATGCCGAAGAATAATTATGCCGTGCAATTATTGTTACCAGTTAACAGTGCGAAATAATACTGAGAAGTTTTTACATGCCACATATTTCAAATTTAAAAGTATTTATATCACACATTTTTAATCTTTGCAATATAGATAAAACTAAAGATTGAACATTCACACAATTAAGAAATTTGGAAACAACTAACGTTGTAAGATTGATATTTATGTAGAATATCGCAGGTTTGCTTGAGCGTGGTGTCTGTGGGTATAGACGACACGCCGCTCGAGCTCGGTGCCGAATCGCTAGCCTCGCACACTGCCATGTGTCTTCTGAACTCTTTATTCGTTGCTTCGAGTTCTTGCACTCTTGCTTGGTGCGAATCATTAATCTGATTGAGATCAAATATCTGTACGACGATGATATTATATGTTAGTATATTCTCGCGCACGCACATACACACAGGAAAGGAAAAGGGAGGATTATTTTTATAACTCCAGCCTCATTTACCTCTTTGCTGAATTTATCGTGTAGTGATCGAACAGTCACGTCATACCGATTCTCCATTTTTCTTATTTCTTGCTCAAGTCTTAATTTGTCATTTGTCAACTTTGTATTCTCCACGAGTATCTGACTGTGCGAAAGGGTGAGATGATCTAGATCTTTCCTTAAAGTGGATATGGTAGTTTTGGCAGTTTCGTTTTCTTCTTCCAGCCGTTTAATTCCTACTCGCATCTGAAATAAATAATCGGATAATTAAATTTATGTCCAAGTTTTTACAATTAGTATAAGAAAATAGAAAAGGTTTCGTACCGATTCGTTTTCCTTGTTAAGAATTAATAGAGTTTCTGTGTTCTTTTTCTCGTTTTCCTTATATTGCAAAAATTCAGCTTTCTGTTTTGTCATCTCGTTTGCCATTTGCTCAACGTCATTGATCTTTTTCTCCATTTGCGTTTTGCGAAAGCTATTCTGTTTGCTTTCCTTTCTTAACACATGAAACTCGTGTATTCTTTTTTCCAAGGAAGCTTGTAACTTTTCACAGAACTTTTGAGATTTCTCCAATTTTGTAATGAATAGAGTTAACTTCTCATCAATTGCCTGTAAACAAATTCAATTTCTGAATTCCAAATTTAGTAAATCATGAATTTATAAATTCTAACAAGAATAGCAAAATCGAAAAACGTAAATTATTTCACAATCTTTAATTAAAAATTAATATTATAAATCATATTAATATATACACCTAAGCAATCTAAATATAGATATCAATATAGATATACTCACACAATCGGAAGAGACTTTTGTAACTAGATCATTCCTTAGAGCGCTAAGTTCAGAATACAGCATGTTATTCGTTTCTTTTAGTTCTTGTATTTGGTAACTCGTGTCCAAATCATTTAGATCGTTTTGATAAGTCTTGTAGTAAGGCACATAGTCTGCGGAGTCTTCAGAATCGCTGCAGGCCTTCGTGTACTTTGTAAATCTGGAACGGCTCGGATTCTTGTATTGCATTTCCTGCAGACCAATTCTAGCCATAGAAACGGTTCGATCGGGTTCAGAAAACGTCTCAGAATCTGACTGCGAAGCCTGATTCTTCGCTGTCTCCGCAATATTTTCGGATCGACTTCTTCTCACGGAACCATCCGTTCTGTCATTCGCTGCCACATTGTCCTGCACGGTCATGCCTTCCAGAGCGCGCACGAAATCGTTCGACAGTATCTTGGAGCTAAGTAGAACATCTAGCACAATCTTCTTGTGTTCGTTACCAATAGTGTCCGCGCGATCAGCGCTCTGCAGCATCTCTTTCATGAATTTCACTAGATCCTTGAGATGTGTACGCAGCAGCTCGCAGTATTTTTTCGCCCGCTCCGTTTCGTTGCCACAACCATCGATTTCCGCAGCGATATCGGGCTTCGCTACGAGTTTCAGCCATTTCAAGTAGTCCACTTCCTTTTCTAGATCGTTTCGCTGACTCGACAATCTCTGAACGTATTCGCCTAACGTCTTTATATTCACTGTTTCATTCCCGTTGATGTAATTAAGTTGGACAGTTTCGTCTGCAATGTTTACTTTGATACCGATTTCGTTCAGCTCGCGAATTAAATTTGTCAGCTGTGAATTATCGACTTCCTGGACGGTTTCAGATTTATTACGACTCCTATCATGGCCGTATGATGCTGTCATGTGGTTGTGTAATTTGGCAATTTCCTTATTTTTGCTCCAGAGCTCTGTATTGACCAGTTTTTGAAGATTCTGAGTCGTCATCTGCAACTCCTTCGTCAGCTGTTCAATCTTGCGGTTTTTCTCCTCAATCTCGACGTTTCGTTGATCCAACTGCTCGAGTAATTCATCCCTTCGCGGAGTATCATTGTGACAATCGGTAGTAGTGACTTCATTAACACTATTCATCTCGACATGTTTCAGCTTATCGAGTTCGGCGATTTTATCTTTCAACTCTTTCGTAATAATCTGCTTCTCTGTCTCCAGAATCTCAATTCTTTGCACCTTATCCTGAAAACGTTCCTCAAGTTCCTGCACAATAAAAAAATTTAATTAATTTAATTTCCACAAAAATAAATTGTATTATTATATAACTATTATTTTGAATGTTTATGACATGTCTTATTTATAATATTTGACATATAAGTCTTATTTATAAAACGTAAATAAATAATATAATTATGATAAATTGAAAAAATTTGTTTGTTCTAAGAGTAAACTTGGAATTTTAAATATATACATACACATAAATTTTATATTTTTTATGTTACTTATAAAAGAGAAAAAGAATCTTTAAATCAACAAAATTATAAAATATTAATAAATAGTACTCATTGAATGTTTTTAAATGTGTTTATTATCACGATTATACGAACATAAATATATAATTTTTAAATATTATTAATAAATCTTGTCGTATACGCAGTCTATCTGCTTTTTAGATTATTTATAATGCATCATCTCTGACCAAGTATTCAATTAAGATGATCCATTTAGAATATCGCAAACATTGTATAGTACATATATTTAATTATACTTTGTTTTTTATTTCATTATTTGAATAATTATATAAGTCATCATATATACATTGAAAAAAAATATAGATGATGCAACAATTAACAAAATATGATTAGCAAACATTCAATTAAAAAAAAAATAGATATACAAGATATATCTTTCAATTATTATGTTGATTATTATTTAATATTTATGTGCAAAATATTAAGTATTTTATTATTTTATTATACATGTGAATATTTCATGCAAAATATCATAATATGAAAACTAAATTATATTTGCACTATACCTCAAACTGAATTTGCGTCTGTTCCTCCTGTTTTTCCAAGAGACTTTTTTCAGCTTTTATTGTCTCGATTTGGTCCCGCAGGTCATTAATCTTGCTTTCCATTTCTTCAAAACGTTGCTGCAACCATAAAGTATCGTTCCACGTCAATAAAACTCAAAACATTAGAGATTCATTAAAGACACTTTATTAGAACATAATTTTGATTACAGTAAAATATCAAAATTCAATATATATAATATGTGAGAATCGGGATTTCTAAGAAGTGGTAAAGAAATTTAATTGCAAAGATGTTACATGCAAGATATTTTACACAGGGAGATTTTTATACATGGGAATGATTATATATTCGTCAATTTTTCGTTTTCTTATTATACCAACATCGCGGCGGTACGAGTGTGACAATCGCCGGCCCCTAAAAGGAAAACACGTTTTTTTGTAATCTTTTCTTGTTTACTACAAAAAATATGCCGTTCCAAAACATATATAAGTCTTGAATAAGAATATATTTTACACATACATTCTCAATCGTATGAAATATAACGTATAAATTTTGTTCCAATAAAAAAATTTATTTAAAATTAATTTAAAAAAGTACACATATAAATACATATAGAAAATCTAACAGATAAGGAATACGTAATTCCATTAAAACAATTTTAATGGAATGGACTTTTAATCGTTTTTAAATTTTCAATTAATATGATTTCCATTTAGAATATCGAATATCAATTTAAAATATTTTTTAATGGATTGGACTTTTAATCGTTTTAAAATTTTATGAGCTGACGAAATTTGTGTATTAGTAACAAATTTATATAGCTTTAAAAAAAAATTTGGAGATTAATAATTTTCATTTTTTGAAATTATTGACTTAAAATAGCTCAATTCATACATAAGCAATATAATATAATTGCAGTATAATTTATTGTTTTAAAATATATTATGCTATAATTATGTTATAATTTGCTAAATTAATTTATCGATCTCAATAATTATTGACATTTTAACACAAATCATTTTTTGATTTTAATCTGCAACATTTAGAGTTAATACTGTAAAAGAGGGAGCCCAGTAGAGTTAAGCAAAGCCAATATCTCTTAATAGGAATACCGAGAAGGACAACACTCGACAACATTATACCTACCTCCATCCGGATTGAGGCGCACAGACAAGAGAACATATTTAGTTATTGAATTTTTTTAACTTTAAAATCAAAGCAATGATACAGGCAACGATCGATTAGATACTCTACGTCAATGCTAGTGTGATCAGCACTGGTGAATATCTTTCTTCGATAAGATTATGCCGATACCTACGCGTCTAATTTAAACTTTGAATAGCACCTTATGAATCAGTTACCAAATCCACAATAAAATTATTAATAATTTTTTAAAAATATTTCTAGTTGAATTAAAAAAATTTGTAATTTTTTTCTATTTTCACAAATTTTTCTCGACTATCGTTCTCTGATTTATTCGACGCACGGCAATTTGCGATTTCCTCGCTGTGTCAGTCAAGGGTTATCAATCGCGTGCTATTTCCGGAGCATGTGCGAGTCGTTCTCGTCGTATCTCGTAAAAAGAGTTGGAAGATCGGTGACGGATCTATCACGTTATTGCACGTGATGCTGTGTATATTCGTGTAATATTGTTCGTTCGACGCTACCGCGGATGCGGCGGCTGAGATCGGTCGAGATGAGTTTTCGTATGAAGACTGCCGCGTATCGCGACATGTAGACCGTAAGAAGCTGCGAGAAGAGGCGGCGGTCTCTATTAATAGACGACGACCGCGTCTTCTGCACACGATATTCCCAAGATACCAGGGCGTTTTACGGCTCGAAGATCTCTCACTAGCTGGGCTCCTTAAAAAACTTTATAACATTGATAAGCAAACACCATAAAGCAAGATGCAGAAAATGTTATAAAATGAAAGTAAAAGGAGAAGTTCAAATTGTAAAAAAATATATCATGCAAAGGGATAATAAGAAATAAGAAAAAATTTTTAAAAAGTTATTTAATTCTTATTTAAATATTTAATAATAATAAAATAATAATTATTTCAAGTTTCTTTTTTTACGAATATTTATAATAGATGAAAATCAGTCCAATGATATTTTTACATTAGTTTTGCCATTTCAATTTATAGTAAAAAAAATTAATACTATAACATTCACATTATTTAATATTTTATTTAATAAATTGAATATTGGGTATTCAATTAGACAATGTAGCTCAAAAATAGCTAAGAAATATTCGTAAAATTCTCTATATGGATATATCAAAAAATATATAATTATAATACAGAATTGCAACATGATTAAATTCTTTAAAAAGGAACGCAATAATAGGCGTAACCTGAGCGGAATGAAGAAACAAAGTGAAGACAAGAAGAATTCAAGCAAGTATCTCTTAGCATAAGTCTTGAAATTAGTAAGTTTTGAGATTCAAACGAGATTTAAGCAGTAAATAATAAGTGAATAATAAAAATCCGCGACAGCTTTGATAATTATGATAAATACGATTTTGTGAATTAAATAAACTAAAATTTAGTATTAGAAAATAAAAAATATGATATAGATATTTTAATATTATAATTGGAGCATGTATAATGATGAAATTGAAGAAAATCTTTAAGGAAAATCAAAACTGCAACTAAAATTACAAATCGGATTTTGAGTAATGATCGAAATTAAATAAAAAAAAAAAAAAACTAATATGTTTCAGATACATTATTTCACAACACAATCTACTAATAATACTTAATTTAAATACATTTTGGCAAACAATCAAACTTCTTACAAATAATTATAAAATTTTATAAAGAATTTTATATTCTTTTATGCTTTTATGCAAAGTTTAAAAACTTTGATGATTTCTATCAGTAGATTTAGATAGTAGAATAAAATATTGAAAAATACATAAAATATTTAATATAAACAGTCAATCAATAAACAGTAAATCAAATAACGCAATTTTAATTAGAGATTTACTATAATAATATAAAAAATCTGAACACATATAATTTACATTTTTTAAAGAAATTTGTATATCCAGAAAATTTTATCCTCTATATAATAAATACGCACAAATTATGTCTTGATATAAAAAAATTTCATTATTTGTTATAAAAAAAAATGTCACAGAAACAATAAAATAAAAATTAATTGTAATATGTAAATAGAAAGTTAAAATATAGATAACTTGTAAACATTTTAAAATTTTTTAAAATTATATAAATATACAAAAATTTCCTCTTTAAATGTGAATATATAATCTATTACATGCGTTCTGAATGATCAATAAGTAAATAAACGATAAATATGCATTATTAAAATTTATCTAGCACACAGCACAAAATATTGTGTATCTAATAAAAAATAATTAAATAATTAAATTAGAAAGATAATTCATAACAAAATGTTTACAGAGTGAGTCTTGCATTAGAAGAAAGCGATAAAAATATTAAAAATCATGCAATGTGATAGAAAGCAGAAAAATAAAAATAGAAATTAGATATAAAATTTGTGGTCCTGAAAGAAATAGAGAAAAGATTTTTTAAAAAAAAAAAGCTGTCTAATCATGCTTCTTGTCGAACAAAGTGCATCTCTACGCTTCAAGATTACGCATATTTAAAAATAACACATATACAGCATTGGATTTTTTATTTGCATATATTGCAAATAATGTAAAACCTTTATCAATGATTGAATACGCGAAACGTAGAGATTGGCAAACAAGAACGAAAATAATTTGTAATATTGACCTGTTTGCTGGAATCATTTTCGGAGTTGCTCGTATTCTTGACGTCGAGATCCTTCAAGGAAACGGGATCGTGACTGTTTCTTCTTTTACGCAATTCCGTTTCCAGTTCCAGGATCCTTTGTTCTTTACGAGAATATATATCTTGAATTTGTTGCTCGCGTTCAACGAAACCTTGTATCGCCCTAATCGCTTTCTCGTACTCGCCTTCTAGTTTTTTCAATTTCTGTTCTGAAATTTCCATCTGCTTCTGAGCATTGCATAATTTTAATATCATTTGTTTTCTGGTTTCCTCTTGCCGTTTTAATTCGTTATCCCGCTCTTCCAATTCCTGTAATTCAAATTTTCTAATAAATCAGATTATCTTATAGCGTAAAACTAACTAATAATGAAAAAGAGAAGAGAGAGAAATCTAATTAACCTTGATCAATTGCCTAATCTCGTTGCCATCTCCGCCTAAAGATGAATTCAAACTCGCTGTGTTTTCTTTTGTATTCGATTCGTGATCATAAGCATTATATTTAGTTATGTTCTGCCCCACAAACAGCGGTAAATCGATGGTTCCCAGCGGAGTTACAGCCGAAGGACTATTAGGCGGCGAACGCTTACCATAGTTTTCACACTGCAAAATATAAAAAGCGGAAAATTATAATAGAAAAAATAAGAAAACAACTTTAAAATATAAGTAAGCTTAAATTTCTTGATAAGCTTAAATTTCTCTCTGAAATTGCATATTTAATGTTAACTATTATATTCTATTTGTAAGATTAATTTATTATATAAAACTATGTTTATTACGTTATTAAAACTTATTAGTAAAGTTAAAAATTGAAGAGAAAGATATTTGATGATTAAATAGGACGGTAGTTGTTTATAAAAAAAACATCGGTAACGTTAAATATACAATAAATCCTAAAATAATGTCTTTGTCTCAAAACTTATTAAAAATTACCAATAATAAACTTTATACTGTAATAAAAACTTTATATCATTTAACAAAAAAGCGCGAAGATCGATTTACCTGTGATAATAGCGTACGATGCTTATTGTTAATTTCTGCGAGGGCGTCATCGCGAGTTTTCACAGATGTCCTCAATTGAATAATCTGCTTTTTCCTTTTTTCGGATACTTGCTTGATCTCCTCATACATGCGATTCTTTTCCTCCAACAGCGAATTTTTCTGTTTTAAAAGTCTGTCTCGTTCACTGAGATCGTCTTTGCATTGTTGTGCAACGGAATCCTTCTTAAGTAATTCCTCCTTTAACTCCTTTACTTCTTCGCGCAGTTTCTCAATGCTTTGTACTCGATCACAGTCCTGCTTCTCTCGCAGTTGCGTCTGCATATCCAGCTGTTCTCTGAACTGATCCCTTTCGTTCTCAAGTTCTTCCGCCCAGTAGCGTTCCTCTTCCAAAGTGACGGTTGTCTGTTTCACCTAAATCGCATTGGAAATATCATATAAATAATCACAATTCTTTTTTGTGTAAGCATCATAAGCATATTTTTGTGCAAATTATCATTTTTAGTCAGAAACGAAATTATTTATAGTTATGAAGAAATGTTTAATTTCCTTTAACTTTGTATTATCTTTACTTTTCTGTTTTTTTTCCGTGCGATATTCGAAGCTACTGCATTAATGAAACGATACGAGATATAACTTCGACATTACATTAAATATTAAGATAAATGAATAAATAAAAAAATATGTTTATATATATATGTAACTAATAAATTTATTAGACTTAGTAAAAAAAGAAATTTCCAAAAAATAAATTTTTTTAAAAGTCATTGTTTGAAGACAAATATGCGCTAACTTCTTTTGAGATTATTCACAGCGAGAAAAAAAAATATCATTATTATTAAAATTTACTGATAATTGTGCATAAAAGAATCTTTAGATTTTTCTACATATAAATAATAAATTTTGCAAAAATGGGGCGTTAATTGTCATTAATATTATTTCTATATGAACATGTCTACATACCTCTGCTTCGAGAGAAGCCACTAGTTCTTCCATCTGCCTCAATTTTTCCGCATTTTTCAACGCCTGTTCCGGAGTAATACCGAATGTTTCTTTGTAATACGTGGATGCATCTAAATCCCCTTCACGCTGTTCTGCTTCTGTAATAGTACAGAAAAATTTATTTATAATAGATGCAAAATATAAATGCATATGACAGAAAACAAATAAATTTGTACAATGCAAATAAAAATCTTTAAGCATTTTAATAATAGTATAGACGTTAAAGAAGAATATGTAAGCAAGCAAAAAAACTATGATATAGAGCGAGGTAGCTTAATAATAGAATGATTATTTGCTGAAAGAAAGATCGAAACCGGCAAAATCTCGATATTTACTCTTTGTTGGGGAAAAGCTTATAATAGAATAAATAAGATAAATTGATATTTACCTCTTTCAAGCTTGGCTACTTTTTCTCGCTCTGTTTCAAGTAACTGTTGATATTGCTCTCGAGTCGATGCTTTTTGCTCCTCATATAATTTAAAAGCTGTGGCTGCTTGATTGAGAAGAACTTGCTTTTCCATTAATTCCTTCCTTAGTTTTTCCAACTCGTCCTAAAGATCATCATCATTTTATCATTGATAAAAAATTCAATATGTCATGAAAATAATAAAATTTCAATAATTAATGTCACTCCTTTTTCCGAGGTAACAATTAGATTCATGCTAAAGCTGTTGTCTAATAATCACTTGTCTCGATCTCATTCGCGATAACAATTAAGAGCATTAACAGAATTATTTTACAAAGTTCAATCAACACGTTATTTATTTTCTTTTTGATCATTTTAGAGACTATCTATATTTTTACATAAATATAACTCGATATACTTTGTTAAACCAACCTTTAATTCTACGTTCGTCTTGATTATATCTTCATCAGAAGAGCTGATGCCACTTCTTGTAGGATTTTTTTCCTCCAGGAAATAAATTCGCAATTTTAGTTGAAAATTTTCCTTCTTTAAGCTGCTCAACTCATCCTCGTATTCTTTCATAGTCCTACCGTAACTCACTCCACCACTACTACCACCCCCGGTGCCTCCCCCTCCACTACCTCCCGATCGCGCCATCGTCGCACTGTCCTCGGGAATATTTTCACCATATGCTCGCGTGTTTCCACCTGAAACAGATAGCATTTATATTAGCTTAAATATTAGCTTTAAACTCGCTAATTGTTTACAAATGTAATAATGCGTGCAATTCAATAAATTTTATTATTTAATTTGTCGATATGACGAACTTTTATTTTTAAGGAAAAAGATTAAAGAGAGAGGAGACACATCACATACATTATACATTCAATATTGTTATAAAATTATTCTAGTTTTACGACAACTAAATGAAAATCAAAGTAAAATAAGATTTACATTTATTATTACTCGAATGTTTTAATTCATGACTCTATGATTTATATATTTTTCGACACAAGGGTTAAGTATTAATTAGATAAGTAATGACTTAATTATAAATTATTTATACAATACAAAATATTGCTAAAAAATAATTTCTTTTTCTATTTAATTGCAGCGGCAACAAGTATACATGCGATATTTTAAAAGAGAGCAACGTGACAAAATCACGTGCAAAACTGACAAGAAGTAATCATAAGTTCACCGTCAAATTCAATTTTCTTCTTGTCACTCGAATAATCCAATTTCCAAATCTAACCGCATCATTTCCGACACACGTTGATAGAATCTGTATGAATTTTGAACAATCGCGATATGCCGTATGTGCCTCGTTAAACCCGAAATTAATCATCTTGAAATACTCGATTTTCCTCGATTTCGCTCGATGTGTCTCAAATAGTACGATACAAATAAAAGAATATCGTTCAGATACTTTCAACATCTAAATTTTTATAAGAGAATATTTCGCAGACTTTTATATGTTATTATAATTATACTACTATATTTTACGATAAAATCCTTTTCTTATAGATACTAATTAATTTAGATACTAATTAATTTAAATACTAATTATTTCCATTACTTATAATTATTATTATATAATATATATTATCTGTATATTACATGTATGTTATATATCATGTACCTCTTTAAACAAATTTATTTTTAAATTTTATGTACCTATGCTTATAAGATGGTGCAAAAAATTCCTATAAGCATTTCCTATTTTTAGAATAAGTTTTTATAGAAACATATGTCGGATTAATCAATCTATTCTCAGCTTCTCTAGGCAAATGTAAGCAGTGCCAAATCCACCTTGCAAGATCGGGACACGGCGCCATCGTCACACATGCATCTTTAAATTAAATTATTTTAGCGCATCAATGAGCGCCAAAAAGATGCTGTTTCTTATATTATATATAAACATTCCAGAATAATCTGTGGCATATATAAATATTGAATGATACTTTTTCGTTTCACGTTCAAGTTCAATTAAAATTGCAAATTATAAATCATTTATATACCACATTTAATTTCTCTTTCAATATTATACAACACATTTATTTAATTGTAAATCATTTATACATCATATATCATAATTCATTCATATATTATATTTTCTATGGGAAAATAAGAGAGATAGAAAAACATTATTATATTTCTATACTTATATATAATGTTTAATATAATATTTAGAATTAATTCAAAACAAATCCAATACGCTTCGAATGGAAAATAATAAATTTGTACTGTTTATTCTACTTTCAAAATAATTGATATAATAATTAGATACAAAATATAATAATTGATATAATAATTAGATACAATTAGATACAAAACACTTTTTATTTTTATGGATTAGTTAGTTACGAGAATTGATAAAATGATGATGTAAATGTGTTGTATAATATTGAAAGAATTAATGGTTAGTTCTTCTGGTTCCTTTTCACGCTCTTTTTCAAAAGATTCTATTGTAGACTCTTTATAAAGTTATGAGCTAAGGTCATTTATCACTTGCCAGCAATTACTGACAAACAGAAAGCAAACAATCTTAATGTGCAAGTTATTATGGCGGTATTTATAGAACTTAATCGTATCAATTATTTAATAATCCAATTATAAGTATTAAAAATAATCGCAATTGCAAAATCTTATCACTTATCAATATTCAATACAGTCTTTTTGATATATTAATTCAATTTTTATTGATTTATTATGATAATATATACATACATAAGTGGAAGATTGTAAATCTTTAAGAATTTTCTTATTGGATATATTTTTGATCCCTTTTGGGCTCGTCTTCGAGATTTCTCGAGAAAAGAAAAGGACTCGACTGTGACCTACCACATCCTATTCTACGAAGAACGCGTTTTTGAAGTCGCTACATTTTTAAACATCCGTACGAAATCGCGAAAGCGAACACTAAATAAGATACACCGAGCTAAAGAAGACCTCGCACGAGACGCCTGCACAAATATTAACTGCGACACAGAATAACACATAGCGTTGAGAAGACACGAGGCTATACTTGTGGTTAAAATTATGTTCTAAGCGCGCATGTAACGTTACATATATGCACATATTTTCTAAAGGTCAAATATCCACAATTTCCGAATAATTATTTCTTTTCAAAAGATATTATTGCAGGCTCTTTGTAGAGAGTTATGAGTTATGGTCGTTTATCACTTACCAGCAATTGCTGACAAATAGAAAGCAAACAATCTTAATGCAAGTTGTCATTGAGATGTTTATAAACTAACCATATAACTTAATTGTATCAATTATTTAATATAATCTATTGTTAAAAATAATCTGGTTTCTGGAAAGGGTGAAAAATCCTTCTTTTAGGAACGCAAAAAATATCGAATTGCCTTTATAATTGATCAATTCTTAAAGATTTAACATTTCGTCAACAGAACTTTATTATTTATTCTTCTAGGATGCAAATTGACGACAATACAAAACTTCAGCAAGGAACAATACATACACACACACATTAATTATTATATCTTTGAGAGAGATCATAAGATTTATATGATTCCATTAAAAAATAAATAAATAAAATAAAATAGAACTCTTGAAAATTATTATTATAAGATTACAAAGAAGTGAATTTTAATTTTATTACATTTATTTATAAAAGCTTTCATACTTTACTATTAATTGTAACAATATTTTTTAAATCATAAAGATACCTAAAGGACTTTGTATAAGTTGAAAATAAAAAAAAGTCAATCTTGCAAATAAATGTTAAGGTATGCAAAGCGGTTTCAAATACGGTTTATACAGTAAATTTGCGACAAGCCTATTTAAGTAATGTAGAGCTTAGAAATGATGCTACTTAGAAATGATTATTCCCGTGGAACACGAGTGATTCATCTCGCCTAATTAACGATCTACACGTTCTGCATATGCTTCGTACCCAAAATGTCATACTGTCACATGAAATAAATCTATCCGTCACGAAATCATTCTAGCTATATCACATTTTCTTCTTTCGACACAGTCATCATCAAGGCCATTATTAGAAATATTAAATTCTTATATTGTCAACAGATGAGAAATCACAATCACGTCTTATTGTATATAATCTATATACAAATTAGATAAAAGATAATAAAATAAATATTTTTTAGCTAAATTATACTACCTTAAAAATATTAATTATTATTTTTGACATAATCTTTCTCCAACCATGATGGGTAAAAACAATTATCTGTTGGCAATCTTTTCTAGTTTTACATGTAATAATAAAATCTCAAATTAAAGTTCTTTTTAGATTCCAATTGATATTAATTAGAAAAATCAAACTCTTGGAATGATAAATAAATTTTTAAATGAGATTACATAATGATCATTACATATCCTAAAATACACAATATTATCTTATAATGTTCCTACATTTCGATAAATACACTATATATAAATACAAATACGTATTTACATTGGCATCTTTCCCAAAAAATTTATTCTACAACATTGTTCGTTAATGTATCGTGTAGAATAAAATGAAAAAAGAACAAATTTTTGCAAACTTCTTTTCTCCAAAAAGTGAAACACATTTTACGAGAACGAAGACTTCATTATCGGCGCAAAAGTTAACGTCGTTGTAACGTTAGGAACGTGAGTTCTCGCTTCTGAACTCTGTCATCGGCAAAGATCATCACCAACACACATCACGTGTCGTAACAGCCGACATGAGCCCAAGAAGCCCGGGAAGCTCAAGAAAGCGAAGAAGAAAAAGACATCGAGACGCGAAAGCTTTGTGCGCGCACCAGAACAAATCTATTTCCTGTCCGATTGCGACTTCGTCCGACGATGTTCTCGTTCTTGCGCGTAATTTTCGGCAGAAATGCAACTGCAATATCGATTCGCGCCAGCGAGGAGACCGCGAAGCAAGCGAGCTCGCGTATTTATAGATGACACATTTAGGCCAGAACGGTTTCAACTATCTTTATTTTGGCAGGTCAGCCTCCGCCTCGCGAGCTCCCACTCATCACTCTCTCCAGATCACCAATCTGGCTAGTCTGACCGACAATTAAAACCTCACCACCGGTCAGAGATGACCGCTGCTCTCAATTTTGCTTCGACAAGAATTTCTGAGAATGAATGCATTACGTCTCCTCACTTTTGTTAGCCAATTATTAGTATTCTCTTAAGCTAGTTATTAGCCATTAGGAAGATACTAATAATTACCTAACTAGTCCTACGACTCTACTAATCGTTGGAAATTTAAAAAATAATATAATTACAAAATATCTAATCCAACGATAGAAAAATAATATTTTTCTCGTTCTGAAGAATCGCAGAAACAAAAAAATTTTTTGCGAACCTTGGAAGCTAATTTTTAAAAATATTCTTTATTTTTTTTATTAAATTATATATTATATTTTTTGTTTCTCCGATTCTTTAGATTTTGAAGGTCTTGTTTAAAAAATAAAATATTGTCTCATTTAAATAAATTGTTTAAAGTTGTGCTTATATATTGAATTAGAATTGAGATTTATATCTAATAAAACAAGCGACGCAAACAATAGGTGTTTATATAAGTGAATCATCTCTATATATTATTGTCAACCACGCGCAAAACAGTTTCTTATTAAGCATCTTTGAACTTTGAATGCATGGCACTTGCCTCGGATAGAACATGCAAGACTGAAGATGAAATTTTAGCTCGCTCGTGTGTCTCTGGGTAACAAGAAGCTAGCTAATAATTCTTGTAATTTGGATTAGAAACAAAAAATTTCGCCATTTATTTCGGGAGTCCACCTGATAGGCCGTGATTCCATCTAGTATTCCTAACACATAGACTACACATTTGCTTATTAGTATAATTATATAATGCAAAATTAATTTTGTTTCAGTCAAAAAAAAAATTATGTACTTCTTTGAAGTGTTGAAAATGTAAGTTTTGGAATAAGCATTCGCAGCAAATACATTAAATTAAAAAATTCGATATATAAAATATTAAAAAATTCGTACAAAGTGACATCTTTTAGAATATAAAATAAAAAATTAGAAAAAATGATTGGAAAGAATATTTTAATTTGAGATTATTTCCTGTGATTAAACATTTCGATTTTTTCATACTATTTAATACTATTTGTAGACATGTATCGCAACTTAAATCATTTGTATTATTATAACAAAATAAACATATATGAAGTTATTCTCAAATGATGTTGAGAATGAAGTTGAGAACCGTCAAAGCTACTTAATCTAATCGTCTAGCATCATTTAAAACAAAGTTTGATGGTTCCTAAGAATCCTCTTAATCCTAACACATATTTTCAATCTTCTAAATTCGTAAACTTCAGAAATAACATTTATACCTCTTATATAAGTTCTAGAATACAACAAAAAATATAAATTTTTTATAAATTATTAAATTATATTAAATATTCAATAATGAAGAATTGTTCACGCATAATATATAAATATAAAAGTGTAAAAAATTTTTTTAAATTATAAATATTAAAAAATGCCACATTCTCTACGAAATAAACTGTAAATAAATAACGAAATTATATTTCTTTTATGTTACAAAAATAAATACGCGTTATTACTGCGTCGTTGGTGCGGCTCCCCTACTCTATCGACAAACGAGCTTCTGGACCCCCGAAATAAATGCTCGCTTCCTGTAACACGAGATCGCGGCAGACACTTTTCAGACGATACAAACAATCATCCTGACCGGATTAGAAGGCGCGGCACTAACGTTAATTGCGTCCACCCTATATGCTATTTCGTTTGCGATGTGTAACCAACCTACCCATGACCTTGACCATTTTACCACTTTAGACCCCATCGAGAATCTGAATCAAAGTGCGGATGTGTCCCAATTGCCATTCAAACGTTGCTAAATCGATTACGTGGATGGCGAGTGGTGAAATTTGGATCAGACAGTCATGGCACTCCTTTGTATATTTAAATCTGGAAAAATTCGAACTAAATTTTGGACCGACCTATCAATCTTCGTATGCACAATTTTTCAAGATATAATTTTTCGTTCATTTTAAACAATTTTCAAGGATATTCTTGCAATTTAAAAAATGTGCAAGATATTTTTTTCGTGTCATCTATCAATAAGAGTTTTCGAAATCCTCTTGGATTAGATTCGCGAACGAGATAACGGAAGCGTAAAAGTTGGCAGACGTATTACGATGGTCCAGCGCAGACGCAGGACCTATACTCGTCGACGACGCTTGGCGTCGTCTCGCTAGAGTAAAACCGCGAGCAAGAAAGTTCGTTGGCCCCACGAGCGGCCTCAGAGATACAATTAGGCGTCACGTACGTTTTCTCGTACTACTAATCGAGTACCTCCGTGTAATAAAATCGCACAATCGACTGCAACGACGCAGATAACGGAAAATGAAGATCGTGTGAATGGGAGTAACGAGCCACGTGCCGGTCCTCCTACGCGTTTTCGCGACCTCTAAAAGTGCATACATAATAAACGAACAACAAATGCAAATGTTAGCTGCTAGGATCGAAAAGATGTACACGTCATCGCGAATATGAAATTAATTTCCAACATAAATAGCTAAATAAAAATCTCTTTTACTAAACTTTAATTAAACTTTTTCTTTATAAAAATATTTATTCTCAATTGACAAGATGTCTCATTTTAAAAACAAGAGTAATAGTGCGGAAGATAATTTTCCACCAGGGTTCATCATCTCGTATCATCAATTGAAAAACAAAAATACGTCTGATACTCTTGTACAGATATAAATATCTCTAAAGATAGATTAATTTTTATATCAATTGAGATAAAAAACGATGATCCACTAGAAACAGCATAACTGATACAGCTAACATCATCACAGTTGCGTGTTGCAGTCCTACAGCTGTAATTGAAATAGAAGCGGTAGGGGGTTCAATTACTTAAGGGAAATAACCAATAAACGTGAGCGAGCACAAGAGAAAGGTTACTATATCGAGCCACCTTATTAAAGTTTGCAATATCGATGACGACTTATTCGAGTGGCGACTCGATCCATCGAGATATCTGCCAATACAAGATGTAATCGTCGCTACACAAGGTCGTAAATACGAGTAATCGTTCGCAACATATGATCTTCCGCCTCGCCTTCGCTTTTATAGAGCGTAAAATTATATCCGGCCATTCTTAGGAACCTCCCTGGCAAAAGAAATATTAATTGTACTATATACGTGTCATTGAAAAGAAATTCAAGAAAAAATAAAAGATTTAAAATAATTTAAATTTTCCTTAACAAATTCTTAATTATTTTCCTGTCTATTTTATAATATTAATTAATATTTGTAACATTTATTCGCGAAAATTAAGTTGTAATTTTAAATTATCACTTAATCTTAAATATTAATATATGATTCATATACATTATATAGCTGCTATTGCTAATTAGTGTGGTAGGAAACCACATGTAAGTAACCAATATAATTACTCACCATTTGTCAATGGCATAGTTTGACTCATTGTGATGTCCTGCAATGGCATATTATTGGTACTGCAACAAAATAAAATTTAAAAATTAATTATAATATTAATAGACTGTTAATATAAGATAATTTTAAAATTTCGATCATGGGATAAATAAATCTTATTATATTAATTAAATTATAAAATATTTTGTTAATATTTAAAAAGGAAAATAATAATAAATGTGAGTAGTTGTCCGTAATACAATTAAAAATTTATGAAGGTATGTGGTGGGAAATAGCCAGGACAAAATTAGATAAAACGTTCGAAAAGAATCAAAGAAACGTCGAATGTTCTATTTTCAGGAATCCAATGGCATGTTTCAAACCAAAAAATATAACACAATGCCAACTTTGACACGTGAGCTGGCAATGATTTACAGGAATACAACGAATGTAAAGTTATGTGTGTGTACTTGCCAATATCATTAATAGTACATCATTACTATAATTTTTTTTCCTGAAAATCGTATTCGAAATAAAAATTATAATAAAAATTTGTCTAGGCTCTAATAATTGTAATCAATAACGGATAAGTCTTAATCTTTTTCATAGTTTACGTGATTTCAAAATATATTTGAATTATATAATTATATTAAATTTATATATATATATATATATATTAATTGTAACACACACACAATCATTTTTTAATAGAATTTTTCCGTAAATCTATTTTTTAAATATTAAATTTAAAAAATATATAATTAATATATTAAAATATATAATAATTAAAATTATAATAATAAATAGTTAATATAATATCACTGTAATACATTTTTCTGTAATTAATATTTATTACTTGAATGCCACAAGAAATATATATATATATATATATATATATATATATATATATATTTATTTGTTTCTCGTAGCAATTAATATACATAATAAATATTAATTTTATCAATAACATGAAACTCGATATTATTAATATAATTCATAAGAAATACTTTAATTGCAAATATAAAATACAAAATGCTTCTACCGAAATTTCCATGCTTATGCAACAATTTTGATTTGATTTAAACATCTAAATGTAACAAGCCATTTTCGTAATAGTCGCAGAATCCATTATACGAAATTAATCGTTTATGCAGAATTTATTCCGTCCGGGCCGTAACTCTGCTTAGAAGTCATTACTGATGTAGTTTAAGGGAGCGCTCGCTATATGTATGAGGGTTCACATACACAGGTTTACATATTAATTCGCTGCGTAGCCGAGCTGTCTCAGGCAATGCGAAAGAGACGAAGAGATTTCCAGTAAAGTTTTATTTAGATTTCACGCAAATCCTATTCCGGTTCCTCCTCCATGGGACGCTGCAACGTGAAATGAGTAATTAATTTGCGCCTCTGTTTTAGCTTGTACCACGAGTCATGCCACAATTTCGACGAGTTCTAAGTCGATGCGCGAACACGATCTTCCAGAAAGCTATACGAGATATTCTAAAACTATCTTTTTTTGATATCCTATAAAGAAAATTAAGAAGATAACGACTGAATTACTGAAAACTAAGAATTTTGAATTATAGCTCTCAAACAAGTGTAATGAAATTCTCCCTTCAAGTCAACAAAAAAGTATGAAAATTATAGAAAAAGTAGAGATTTTAGAAAAATTTTCTATAATTATAAAACATAAGATAAAAACATTTTTAGTATTAAAAGTTAAATGGGCAGTAGAAATTGCTTAGAACTTGTTCATTAGAAATCTTTATTAAGAAAAATCGATTCTTCAAATTATTTAAAGAAAATTATATTCCAATTATTCCATAAAAATTTTATTGTAAGAACAATATTTTATTTTACTGTAAGTTTGTAATCTCTAAATAAAATGTTATTCGCGTAAACAGCAAGGAACAAATTCAGATAGCAACTTATAATAATATAGGTGTGGAACGTAAGTAAGTAAGCACACATGGTGTACGGTGACTCAGAATCCACAAATGATTCACATGTATTCGACAATTTTAAAAAAGTTTTATGGTAATATTCAAAGTTACTAAATATTATTTAAATTCATGAATTAAAAGGATCAAACTTTGTCGAATAAATAAATGTCAAAATTTATCCAGAAAGATGCTACGCGATTTCTTTTCTTTAGTAGCTTTATGACTTGTGTAAACTTTTTAATCTTGAAAGATAACACAGTTATACAACTTATTTTGAGACGATTCAAGTCTGATCTGAGATATCTCAAAACTCTTGGATGTTATTTAAATGTGTACAGAAAGAATCATAATCGAAAAGAAAAGTATACTATTCAAAAAATAATTTTTCTAGTAATAAAAGTTTTCCAGTTAATATAAAAAACTAAATAAAATACAAGCGTAAAATAATAGATAGTGCAAATGCAAATAATTTAAAATTATTTTCCATGATAATTTTATTTTTAAATTTTAATTCTAATAGGGCAATGGAACCCCAAGTATTTTTTATTTTAAATAAAAAAGTTCTAAGCAATTTTTTAAAATAAAGTTAATTATTGATTAAAAAAATTAACAGCGTTATTTAAATATGAATTTGCATTAATTAAGTAACATCTATAGATTCTTAATAATAACTTTAACCTTGACCTACGCAAAAATTTATACAGCTTCTCAAATCAAAATGGTATCCAGGAACATAGATTCTTTCGCATAATATATCTATCTGAATCTCGTAAGCTAGAAATAGACACGCCATGGAAGACATTCGCAAATCATAACGCGTGGAATCTCTATGTAAAGAGTATCGTGTTTCATAGTAAAGACAATTTTCTACAAGAAATATATGGTTATAACATAAAGCAAAACGTGTATTCTCCTGAAGTAAAACGTGTGTCCTAGACTAAAATGTTTAAAAAGTCTTGTATATTTTTATCGAATATAAATACTGCAAATCCAATTAAATATGAGCGATAAATGCAAGTATAACATACGCAATTAATTAATTTAATTTAATTAAGGAAAAATATTCATGCTGTATTATTATTTTATATATGTAGATGTACACAAATAAAAATATTATATATAAATTATATATATATATATATATATATTATATATAAATTATATATACAATATCGATTATTATTATTGCATTAACACTTTTGAACAGATTACAATATTAAGAAATTAATTTGCACATGGTATGCTCGCAAAAGTCACTGCAGCGGTCTACAATTTTCAATTATAATTAGAAAACATATGGCAGACATAAAGAAGGCTAATGCTATAATTTCATATATTATCGTTATATAAGGATTCGAATATACATTTTGTACAAAACATGTGTGGAACATGTGTCTAATGTCATTTGTAATTCGAGCTCACATTACTTTCTTCGAAAATCAAAATCATTTTATGCACAAAAAAGTAATATTATCGTACATATTAAAATTCAATAAAACGTCATTTAATTGTCTTTAAAATTAGTCCTAATACTGAAGAAAATTAAATGATAAAATATGTAATAAAATAATAAAATATATATAAGAAAATAGAAAGTAAAATAAAAAGTAAAATATATAGTAAAATTTTCAAAAGAACATCTCGAGAATATTTCTCTCTTCTTTCTCTTTGATTTGAAACATTATAAATACTAAATTATACTTTAGAAAGTGCATTTGCAACCGTGATAATATAAACAACAAGCCAACAAAATATAAGTTGACAAAAAAATCGCAAGCGAGTAACAGTGCGAATGTAAGTAGAAAAACATGATTATCGAACGACGTAATGTCCGAGCTATCTGGCCTGTAAAATAAGAACCAAATCGGTTTTGCACACCGCGGAATTTCTCAAGAAAACAAAGCATTAATTACCCAAGTGAGTGCCAAGCTCGAGAATAGTCCGATCTTCTTCGGACCTTTCTTATCGTTAAACGATCATAAAGACGACGGATCGTCCGCCAACAATAGCTCCGCCAGCAATTTAACCGAACAAATAAGAGCATATACTACGTAGGACGTTTCGGGGGTCACCGTCATTCCGTTCATTTATGAGTTCCTTGCTCCGGAATTCTTTATGGTTACTTGCTGTAAGTAATTTCTCTTTTAGTTTCTCGCGAAAACGATTTATACAAATTCTTTAATAAATAATTTGATAATTAAATCTCAAATTAAAATTGTATACAAATAACATAATACATTTATTCCCTATTAAATTACCTGAAGAATAATATTATACATATGGTTTTCGAATTATTTTTATTTCTTTGATCTGTGCGAAATCTCTTTAATTTTTATATAGCTTTATTTTATTAAAATTGAAACCTTTTGATACCGAAGCAATTTTAATATATAATTAAATTCTGTAAAATTGATTCAAGACTTTGATCTATTTCTGATTCAATATTTATATATAATATAATATAATTAAAAAAAAAAAAAAAAAATATATATATATATATATATATATACAAATATATGATTTAATTAGATCGACTCCTGCTAATTAATAAAAAAATATATACATGCATATTTTTAGAAATACATCGAAAAGTAAAATAAAAATATATTGAAATATATTTAATCAGACATGCGTTTATCAACACTGTAAGTAAATAATATATCTTTAATAATATGTTTAATAATATATATATAATATATATAATTTAAAATCTTCTGTTCTCTCTCCTCTTTTTAATGCACTCAATTTTTTACATTACTTGACAGATATCTAATCTATTATTTTATAGCTGGATATTTAAATTATTTTTAATGACATTTATCACAAAAAGTCCAAACTGTGACCTACTAAATAATTAGTCCTGACATTTTTGACGGATTAATAATTGAGTTCAACGTGCTCGAATTGCAAATATAGGAAAGACACGTGCAGGAGCGTCGGCTTTTCAGCTTTATTCCTATACATCTGACACTGTTATATTAAGCGCAACCTTTATGCCAGGTTTAACCAATCCCGATACGGACTTCTCAGAATCTTACATCGAAGATGCGCGTGTCGGACAACGTTAAAGGGCTCCAAAGCCGAATGCAAGATGCGCATTATGCGATAACGTTGCATTAAACGCGAGTTTGTATGTACATTTAACTCGTCATGACTACGCATGATATAATATGATTCATTTACATGTATGTCGTATGATATGTTGCGAGGTGATTCAACTTCATGGATGATTTTGCATTATTTTTGAAGATTAAAATAATTTTCCATCTGTCGAAGTTTAATTTTAAAATAATTCTTTCATATTTTCTTGCTATTATTAATTAGAATTGTAATTGTATTACAGAAAGCATTTATATATTCTTTTGTAAAATTTTAAACAAATATAATTTTAAAATATTTTTTGAATTGTTTTAATTGATAACAGCAATAAAATTAATATTTGCAATAAAAATAATTTTCGCGATATATTAAAACATAATAACATATTATTCAAGAAATAACTAGCGATCTATAATATTTTATTAAATATAATTCGAACAAAGAACACATATATCGTTATTTGTAAGTTCGAGATATAAGGAGGCACTCTGATGAAGGGGCATTAGTTACTGCTATCATCTGGCAAGAGATGATGGATGTAGCAAGTAATCAATATAACAGTCGGATGTGCAGCAGCAACCACATGGACTGAAACGTATATGCGTCTTAACTCTTTTTGATGATAATGAAGCTTGATAAATAACGCATTATAAAAAAATATATTATGATTTAATTAGATCGACTGCTAATTAATAAGAAAAATATATACATGCATATTTTTAGAAATACATCGAAAAGTAAAATAAAAACACATTGAAATATATTTAATCAGACATCTGTTTATCAACATTGTATTATAAGTAAATAATATATCTTTAATAATATTTAATAAAAATTTTTTAAACTTTTCTGATTAAAGAATAAATAATAATATATTAATTACACAGACAAACAAAATAATCTGCTTGTAATTTCCTCTTAAGATTTGATGAAATTTTTGTAATTAAAAAATTATGAAATTTATTCAAACAACAGACTGAGTGACGTCTTTATACATGAGACAATTTGAGCATTTAGTAGGTTGCAATATGTGAGAACACCATATAGATGTCAGACGAGCAAAGTTTCCTCAATTAACGGTTCGTTAAACGAATTGACCGAGCAGTTAAATAATTAGCTGGATCCTGACAGGAGAGCCTTATTTGCAATACATACGATGTAGTATGCAAACGTACACTGTTCGCATTGTATCAATGATTGCATAATTCTTTATTCAATTATATATTGTGCATTAAGATTTAAAAAGAATATAATTATATAGAGATGTCAATTTTTTGATGTAAAAATAAATTACATATAAGTAAAACTGGCTAATATTTTTATAATCAATAAAGATATAATAATAAAATAATGACTAACATTATAAAATCATATTACGAAAATATTAATGAAAAAAAAAATGTGATTATGTATTATGAAAACATCATTGAAAACATCAGTTGAAAAAAATGTGCACATGTATTTAATATAAACTACTAAGCTATTATGATGTGCACTATTAATTTTTCTAAAAGATTGTGAAAATATGTTATAATAGACACCTGCTAAATGTTCCGTAATATGCATGCTTTTTAAAAGACATGCGATAAAGAGCACAAAGAAAAGGCAAACGAGATCTCGTCATTAACCTTTTCTGTGATGTATTAGCTATTTTAACATTAAAGCAATATATTCGAAAATTACATGCGCGTCATACTCGATACCATGTACAGTTTTAACATTTTTTTAAATATTATACATTAAATAAGTTTTTAAAAAATTTAATTTAACGTTTCGAGAAACATTCTAAAGGGACAAAAAATTAGGAATTTATTAGAGCGAAAAATGTATGATTTTTCAAAACTGAAGTTGTTTTTCGCGACTAAATTTTGAATTATACATTTTTATAGCTTAACAATAAATACTTAATTTAATTAAAATTACTATTTTAATGTTAATTTCCTAAAACTTTTCGGTTTTTTCAGCTTTAATTTTCCTTTTAATTTTTTCCATTCTAAATAATTCTTAATTGAATATTTAGTCAAATTTTCCACAAAAATATATATAATCGGATAAATATATATCGATCACATGTATAGTGATGATTCTATAGCGCAAATAAAAGTTATCAATTGCCAAGTTGAACAATAATATAAAGATTTATTATAGTGCTTGGCACTTTCAAAATCAAGGAATAAATTAATCAGATCAACCCTTGCACCATATATACGGTACTCACTTTCGGAAAGGATTGTAAGAACCCCAGGCGCTGGCCCTCGTGGACGGCACATTTTGATTCTGGGTCGAATATCTACAACCGCCGAGAAGCATCCCGCAACGATTCTGGCTTTTTTGACAACACAATCGCGAGATGAAAACACGTGATTCGTTCACAAACTCCGCTAGCCCTCGACACTATAAAGAGTTACTATAACATTCGACTCTCTGAGAGTTCCAAAGCAAGATAAAATACGTACAATCGATCTGTTGTCAAGAAACACAGTTTTTATCTTCACGATGAAATTCTAGAATCCAACGATATCAATGCTGTCCCTCTTAAAACAACGCAAACGATAATTATAACAGTATCCTCGAGAGATCAGGTCCTCGCGAACAACGATGAATCTTCGTCCTTAATAATCCTCGGGGTTGCACTCGCGTTTTCGCGAAATAAAAGCATGGCCACGGTTAAAAAAAATCCGAAAGACCCCCAGGTCCCGCTCTCATGTGGGCGGTGACGTTAGCGCGAACGTACTATGCTCCTCTGCGTAGCTGGACCGATCAATGGAGTTAACTCTCGCTTAAAGATGACGCGTCAGATAATAATTCCACGGTCGCGTTATCGAATCTCGTCGAGGATCTCGATCGTTCATCGCGCTAAAACGAGGCTCATTCGAGCTGGCGATGTTCACGTCAGTTTCAAACGATTTGCGATAACGCGACGTAGATAACAGACAACCGACGTGGGTAGTGTCCTTATCTCAAGTTTTTGGAAATCGGTAGCTTTCAGCTTCCTGCCGACGACCTCACAAAAGGGATGTAGTCTCTCTCCGTCTCTCCGTTTCTATCAACGATGAATAATGCGTGCTATCTCGTCTCGGTGATATGACGTTTTGCGACGCGGGGGCGAGAACCTCGTCGTCAAGCGCGATTCGCACGCAGAATCCTACGTCGATTTCACAATTTGTTTATCCGAGCGTCGCGGATGCTGTGACGCACCGCGGGATCACGTTTCGTGAAACGTTACCTACGTATCGCGCGACGCACCAAAGACGACTGACGAAAGACGGCAACGCGAGTCGAGCAGAAATAGAGGGACGGCGACCGCGACGCGGGGGAGAGGGGTGACAGGCAGACGCAAGGGATGCGCTGTGTCAACCAGAGCGTAACTATAGAGAGGAGAAAAAAAAGGGGGAAGGGCTGCAGGCATCTGTACTCCCTGGAGCGCGATCCAAGAACAGAAGCAAAAAATGTAGCGAATTCGAAAACTTGAAAAAAAAATAAATAAATAAATAAATAAACTGCTCGTCTTGAACATCGTAAATGTAAACTTATTCTCAATAATTATTCTTCCGCATATCTTTTTCAATATATTTATTTTTAATATTTATGGTTAAGGTATTATTTAAATTTTTCAATAATATTCAAAGATATCTTATAAATATATTTTTAAAAATAGCTTTCTTTTTCATTAGTAAATGTTTTCTAAATATTTGTAATTTAGGGGTATAATATTCTCTCTTCTGAATTTATATGATTTATAAACTTGCTATAAAAAATTAATTATATTTTATTCATATATATTTTAAAATATATTTTATTATATATAAATATATATTATTTATATATTTTTCACAAAAATAATAAATCACAAATCTGCTAAAAAATAAGTTTACACTTTGATATTCGTTAAATATGCAGCTAGATCGAAAAAAATCAACTTGAATTCAACTTGAAAAAAATCAACTTAAATTATTCGACGATTAAATAAATATTTTTAAATATCAGAAAAATATAAACCGTATCTACTTTCGCTGGCCTTCTCGTTTTCTTCCTTATCAACGGACATGTAAATCAGCACGCAATAGTCAATGTATAAACGCCACTGTACCCTTAGATCAAAGAGCAGAAGGGGAAAAGAAAAGCACGCGTACACTGGTAAAAAGGGAAAAACACATGGAAAAGAAGAGAAGGGAAAGCAAGGAGGGCGGACTAACAGTGAATGACAAAAACAGAAACGAGGAGCACGGAAATACTAAAGACGCACAGGAAATGGATTAAATGTCGAAGATTTGATGTTTTTCAGTCAATTTCGCGACAATTTCTCTAAAACAAGAACGTAATATCAACGTCAATCTAAATTCAATGTTCTATATTGAAAAATAAAATAAATGAGTTTTATATAAAAAATGTTACATGCGCTTTTCACCCGATGAAAGATTTTCAAACTTACGATTCGGTCTTCATTTTTTTTTATGAGGTATTTAATTACGAAAATATTTAACATCGTCACGTGCATTTAAGGGATTTCTTTCTTGTTGACTTTTATCACTTATGTGCAGAGATATTGATACGTCAAACGAGCTTGATGTTATGAGAGATATGATCTTTAACCCTAAGAAAAGATAATCACTGTTAATGCATATAGCAAGTGAATTCATGATGATTTTTTAAGAAATCTATGTTGCGAAATTACATAACATATCGTTGTTTGCATACCGTTTAGGTTTTCAATATATAATCTGCTTTATATTTGCCTCAGAAATGTATCGTTTTCGAGATTAAAAACCAATTTCGAGAACGAAATTATTTTAATTCTATGTAAATATAAAAAGATTGATTTAAACAACTTATAAAATGACAGATATATATATCATAAGTTTTTAAATCTTCTTTTTATATCTTAACATAAAATTAAAATAATTTCAATCTCGAAATAATTATATTCTTGAAGTTGGTTTTCAATTTACATATATAAAATAGATCAAAAACCGTTAATCAAAGATACGAACCGACACAATGCTAAAGCGAAACCATGCAACATGAAACAAATGGCAACGTAATCGAACATGTATTTTGCCTTAAGTTTTTGCAACGCAGGTTCCTTATACATTTGAACAAAAGCAGATATCATTTCAACGGCGAAATACATATCTATTTATATTTACGAATACAGACCTCCCGCACACACATACGCGTGTCGAGAGACGCCTGACGCACAGAGATCGTAGAAGGGGATCGCGTGCATGTGGCGTATCGTTGACGTAGGGGATAGAGTATTAAATTGAGGAGATTTACTCACATCTCGAGCTCCATCGTCCTCGCGAATGAAGACATCATCGTTTCCTCGAAATCTGCCATTGTTCTCACACTCTCACTGCATTCCTTGGCGCGTATTTTTCGCGAGGCGAAATTTGAGCGAGACGCACGAAACGCGAGCGTGCACGTCGTTACTTTTCAAAACAAGGCTTCGCGATGCGACCGTCGTGCGCGCTGCTGATCAGCTGATTCCCATTGGCTGCGTCGTCTAGGTATATGTCATTGTTCCGTCCGCGCAGGTCTGCCAACCGTCGAGCCGAAATTTTCTGCCGACCAGTGGCTCTCATAAAGGAACATTTTCGGATTATAATATTCTGTTTTGCTGCAAATCAAAAGAAGCCTCCCTTTGAGTACCTATAAATTAGTTACGAAAAATATTATAAAATTATATTCTCTTGAAAATAATTAAAGATAGATAAAGTTCTCTTTTTGAAATTTTTATAATAAAATACACACCGTTTATGAGAAACAAAATAAGCTGGTATCTCATTTTTTTTGTTAAAAATAATTTTTATCTCGAACATTTTTTTATATATTACTAAAAGAAGAAATATCTCTTATAAAAATATTTCTAAATTATTTAAATTATTTAAGCTTGTTAGACATACTAACAGGAGTTATAATCGATATGATTTCGATTTAATGATATTATTTTTATTATTCAAAATATGCAAGAATAAATTTCGCATAATTGATAACGAAATAATATCGATCTTCATTACTAAATATGATATCTGTAGAAAAATAAAATAATTTTTCTCAGAAAGGATTATTAATAAATTTATCTGTTACGTCAAAAAATGAAGATTAGATGACAAAAGTACGCACAAATCGTTATTAAATAATGTTTTACTGATAGAATAGATAAATTTGAATAAATAAACTTTTTTATATTATTATCAGAAAACACACACACACAGTTTGAGAAGCTCTGACCTCTGACTTAAAATTTATATATATATCGTGTAAGCAACCGGCGATATGACAGTTGAGAGTATTCGTTGACAAATGGTTGGTTATGTTCACGAATAGGGCAGCTGTCACGTATAACAATATTATATAGTTTTAATATTCACAAATGCAACGATAAATCTTGATAGTGCAATACTTTTGTTGCAACTCGAGGTAAAAATATTTATATACGTGGAAAATTAAATATATATATTGTAAGTCTCTTGTGCTTGAAAGTTTCATTGAAATGATCTTCATGATAATCTAGATGTGTCTAATATACTTTTATTTTCCAGTTCTGTTGAAACTGACAATCGTTTTGGATTGAACGAGAAATAACATCTGAATTGTTATAAAAATTATTTCCGATTGTACAAAGCAGTCTTTAGTGTTTGCCTGAAATGGAGGATGCACAAGAAGAGGTTAGACGAGAATATTTTTTCATATCATTGAATACAGAATTTTGATTAAAATATTGATCATACAGCATCAAATGATTGAAATTAATATATAAACTCTATTATGACTTAAAAGTACTATAATTTTTTAAAAGTACAATAGATAGAATGTTCTTAATTGAGATTTTAACAAACTTATGAATAAATCTTTCCTTAAGGAATTAATTCTAAAATGATTCATTTTTATTATGACTAATGTTTATAAAAAAAGACAATCATATCAAAATATATTCTTTTATTATATTTAAATAAATTTCAAGTATATTTTATATCACTATATTATGACTTATTGCTTCGTATAAAACATTTTATGATCCATTATTTTAGTTACAATTTGTGGTAGATGATGTAAGCAATATTATTAAAGAAGCAATTGAGGTATCAATAGGAGGCAATGCATATCAGCATAACAAAGTTAATCAATGGACCTCAAATGTTGTAGAGGCATGTTTAGGCAATCTTACAAAATTACAGAAGGCTTACAAATATATTGGTATGTAATACTAACTAATCTTTATAATTAAAAAAATAAAAATATCATCTATTTCATAATAGATTAAGGTCTCACTGGAACATATTTTAAAGCAATATTCCAAGAAAAAAAAAATTATATACTATTTGATTAATCGCTAAGTTGTTCAAAAATATTAAAAATTTGTAAATATAAAAACAAAATTTCATCCAAATATCTCATCATTAAAAATAAATTTTACAGTAACTTGTACAATTATGCAAAAAAATGGAGCTGGTCTTCATACCGCAAGCTCATGTTACTGGGATAATGCTACAGATGGAAGTTGCACAGTACGTTGGGAAAATAAAACTATGTATTGCATTGTGTCTGTTTTTGGGCTGGCTCTTTAGATTTATTTATCCACACAAAATGTAATTCTATGCTTGAAAATAATTTAATAATTTCGTAGATATGAGATGTAACAATACTACTTTCAAAAATAAAATGTTATAGTTCTAATCAACTTAATATTTTTGCACAAATTTGCAGAAATTGAAGCTAAAAGTAGAACACAAATAATTGTGCTATTTAAATATAGTTAAAGCAATGATTAATATGATATAAATAGAATTAAGTACATATATATATATATACATATATACATATATATATGTATATATATATATATATATATATGTATATATAACATATATGTATATGAAATAAATGCAAGAAAATTAATATTAATTAAATATTTAATTTTCTTAAATTTGCTTTTATATTTAGGAAATGATTCTTTTCATCTATACATTGTAACTTTTATGAAATAAATAAAAAAAGACATCAATTATAATTTTTATACTCTTATTGCACAAGATAATTGTGCATGTTATATAAAATAAAATCATGTATTACACAGCAAATAGTCTGAAATTTTATATAAAATGTTCTTAAAGAACTTGTTTAGTAAAATAAGCTTATAATAAGTTGTTTTTGATGTTTTTTTTTAAATCTTTTTTTTTAAGTGACTTCATAATTTGAATGTAAACTTAATCAAATGACATATTTTGATATCCGTCTCTGTTTATTTATTAATAATAAAATAATTTTCATTAATTTTTTAAAATTGCAGTTCTCTAAAAACACTTTATAATATTAAATTACTTGTGTATGTAAACATAAATAAATAATAAGAAATAAGTGACTCTTGTTAAATTCTTCGCATTAAAATCATATCGTCAAAATGATATAAAACAAAAATTTGCATTGATCTTGTTATCAAAATGGCAGGTAAATAAACATTATTTATTTAAAAAGAATGATGATTTTTTTTATATATGTGCGAATGAATCAACAAGTCGAGTCTAGTATAATTTATAACTCTGTAGTCTGAGGTAGACTTTCATTGTCACTTAAAGCAGTATTTAGTAAATGCAACTCGTCGTCTAAAAGAACTAGATTATAATTTAATCTACTGCCGAATTCATCATCAATATATATATCCTCGGTCAAATATTGACTGCTTGGCATATTCTGTAACAAAAATAAAGTGTGCTTACTTAGTGCTTAAGAAATTATTTGTTCTCAAATATTAAAAACAAAATATATATTCTAAACGTAGTTTTTATCTCTCTTTATGACTTGTGTATAATATTTAGAATTATATTTACTCTTTGGCAAGTAATTTTTGGAATAGACATTATTAAAGTATTCAATCTTGCAGGTAAAGAACGTCTTCTTGGTGAATCTTTTATTATAATACTATTCGTGATAGTATCTACATTGACATATTTCATCTCATGTGTGTTTGTAGAATCTACTTTAGTTTGTTGCGGATTTGATATAATCTTATTTGTAATGGCCACATTATTTTGATCAGTGTTTTGCAAATTGGTCGATTGTCGTTCTCGTGTTGATATTTGAGATTCATTTGATGTTTTCGTATTTGTGGAACTGAATGTTTCATTTTTTATGAAAGCTTGATTGAAAATTTCTTCATGTCTTATGGCGGCTTCGATATTATTTCCTGTGTTTTTAATGTTATCTATCTCCAAGAAATTGCTGTTGCTAGGCGTCCATTTTTCTTTAACTGTGATATTTTGGTTGTTATCATATGTTGTTTCATACAAGTTGAATACTGTTTTTAATTCTTGTTTGTTAGTCCAATCGAGTTCGGGATTATGAATTTTTGATGGTGTTACCAAATGCACTATTTCTGTAGCACGATCAAGGGCATCCTTCAAGTTTTGTATGGATTTATTTGAAAAAGTTGGAACTTTTGTTGATGGATAATCACTTTCTACATTTAAGGGTGACTCTTTATTATCTTTGGTATAATCACCTTTAATGAAAATAGATAATAACTAATTTATGTTGTTAAAATAATGGTAAAAACATACATTAAAGTATTATATAAAATATATTTTAATAAAAAATTTGAAGAAAATTTGAATTGAAAAAGCAAATATACATTTCAATGTACCTTTTTCCTTAAACTCAACAGTGTATGTAGCATCAGTATTTGTCAAGTCTGTTTTGGAATATTGTGCTTTATCATCGTCAGTGATAGGGGTATCATTATAATTTGATTGTTGTAGCAATGATAAATCCTAAAAATATAAAATTGTATGAGAAATAATACGATTAACATAAAAAACGTATGCTAAGATAATGATAATATAAAATAAATATCTACATACTTCTGTCTGCTCTTCACTGTCGCGAGCCATTCGTGATAAACAAATTTCCTTTTCTTTCCTCCATAGTGTCGATTCGTAAAAACTTTTAGCATCTGAATGTAAAACCCGAGGTTGTATTATTGCATGCTTAATACTTGCAGGCATGCTCGGATACGGTGTCTGTTACGGAATAGGAAAATAAAGAGATGATATATTATATACTAATATATTATATTAAAAATATAATACATTATGAGTAAATTATTAAAAGACTATATATTATGTATTTATATTAAATATATATTTATTTTTAATGTCAAATTTTTACATCATGAAGTTGTAGAATAAAATAGAAATAAACTTCAAAAATATTGATTTATATATTACTAACAAATTAAGTACAATTTTATCTCAGAGAAGAAAATACCTTTCGCTGAAACATGTATGACGATTTCGGAGTAGTCCCATTATATTCATTAGGTGACTTATTACATTTAGGTTCTAAAGTAATTGTGTGATTTGCTGGTTTACATGTTATACAATTGGGACTTCTTTCTTCTGATAATAATGTACTTGTAGCTTTTGGATCTACATGTTCAAAATTACGAGTTTAATTAAAATGCTATAAAGTGCTTTGAAATAAAGAATTCAGAAGTAAGCTAAATCGAATTTGTTTGATTTTTTAAATTATACATAATAAATTAAAAAATAATATTAAGATTTTAAAAAGCATTTATATAAATATATATATATACAAGAAAGAAAAACAAAAGAATTTAAGTCACATATGTTATATATATATTTTTTTCTTGTTTTAATAAAATATTTGATATATATATATATATATATATATATATATATATATTTGATATATATACAATATATATATATGTGTGTGTGTGTGTGTTATCTATACATTTTAACTTAAATTTGTAAAGTATTTGAAAATTTATAATAGAAAGATATATTATAAATATTATGGAAGTATAAATATAAAAGTATATATGCTACATATTTATGTATTGATCACTTACTTGAATAAGAAGATAACATTGAATCGTTTCCAAAAAAGAAATCTTCTCTTTTACTGGCTATTAGTTCTTTCAATCGTTTTATATTAGCTCGTGCGTCATTTACCTCGTCCATATTGTACATCATATTTGAAATTTCTGAGCAACGAGTACAAGGAGTGGAAGCTGTTACTTTAATCATAGAACTCACGATGCTATCATCAACAAATTCATCTGTGTTTTTAACATTATTTTTAGAATCTAAATCCTCATTATATTTTTTCTTAAACTTGAGAAATTGATTGGAGGAGGGTTTTGTCTCTATCATGGGGCAATGCGATTTGGCAATTGGTTTTTTGTTCAACGTCTTATTTTGTATAGGAAACACACTAAAAGTCTTTTTACGTAAAGCATTATTATCATCATACAAAAGATCATTATTGTTGTTTCCTTCACATTTACTCATATATACGTTATTCTTTTCTTCTTCTTCACATATCATCTGAAAATAGCAATTCTGAATAATAACAAATACATCTCTTGATAGATTATTATTCAAAGAATCAATAAGCATTAAAAGTTGTGCAAATTTTAAAAGATTATGTTGTATATGTTGTGTAAATTTACCAGTAGTCTATGAAGTCTCCTTCCAATTTTATCCATGTCCAATGTCATTTTCGTCTCATCTGGATGTAATCCAGTTTCTAATAAATCATGAAGAATTGGTGGAACATTTTGCAAACTAACCATAATATCATGTTTGCGTATCATGAAATGTCGTTCTACATTGCGATTATATCCGTTCCGTGGCACACATCCTATCAAACAGCCAAAATTAAATTATTATTGAAATTGCTGTAAAATCAATATTTTATTTCTTTGTGATACACAATGATTGCAACTTTAATAGATTCTTCTAAAAATATGGAGAGCATTATTTTTATATAAGTAAAAGATAATAATAACATATATTTACCTGTGCACATTTCCCAAAGTAACAACATCAAGCCATAAATATCGACTTTTTTATTATGATATTCTCCATAACAAATTCCTGGTGGTTCCCATTTCAAGTTCTCTAATCGCAAATATTTTTCGTATTCGCGAAATTGATAACTCTGTAAAGGAAATAATAGATGCTCTATTGTAAGAAGGGATAGTATCAAAAATTAATAATATTGAATTATATACAATAATCATATACTTTATTTTAAAAAGAAAAAGCAAGAAATTGCGATATAAAACCGTAAAAAATCTGCAATATAAATTGCTAAATTCAAAGTTACTATATAATGGATGATATAATAGAAAATAAATATAAAATAAAAAAAAAGAAACATCTACCTCATGAAAAAATATAATTAATTTAAATTTTAACATATAATGCAATTACTCGCGGGAATTTTAATATTTTTTTCCTTTCTATGTATTTTTTTTGCGATAAAATATTAACATGTGATTCTATGACATGACATCCTATAATTATATTGTGAAAAATAATCTATCATATTTAATTGCAATTATGATTTAAGCGAGTTCCGCATTCTAGACTACGCATGCGATTAGCATCGATACGGTACAGCGAATTTATTCAGAAACGAACATTTTGTCGAAAACAATGCCAGTCGTTTCCGTGGGTGTGTCATAGAATCACGGATATGACGTGATCCGTTTTTTATAGTCTACCTTGATATTTTCTTTGTAATGTTTTTTAAATTGATCACTTTTCACAAATTCGTAAAAATACGATCGTCGAGACTAATAAGATAAGAATCAGAATATACGTATTTATTGTTTTGAATATGTTATAGAAAATAATAAAAAATTACTTAGATTATGTATATTAAATCGTTAAACATATTATGTATATAAAGAGAACTTATTCTACATACAATTCCCATTTCTACAGCCATTTCCCATCCACCAAGTTTGACATTGTTGTTGGAAGTAAAGTAAACACAACGTGAACTGACTGCTGTGTGTATATATCCGCGCATATGGCAATATTTTAATATATCCGCCAATTTCATGCCGACTTGCATGATTACTTGTGTATTCAGTCGTTCGCCTCGCTCATGTATATAATTATATAATGTGCAGTCGACAGATTCGAATATGGAGACAATCTCCTGCGTAATTGTATGGGTTGTTCCCATCAATAACAGTATATTAGGGTGGCGAATTTCCCTGATGATCAAAAATTGCGATTATGTAATTACGAAGGATATCTCGATTATATTGTCAAAATGAATACTACATTAATTATATAATTTTAATAAATTTTGTATAAAATAAATAAATATTGCCTTTATATACATCGCGAAATAAACATTTAAAAATTACGAGAAAAAATCTTTTTTTTTCCATAAAATATAATCTTTAAAATTAAAAAAACGAACATTGTCTAACAATCTATCAGATTTGTAAGTTTTATTGTGTTACAAGACTGTAATATTGATTATATTTTTCATAATTAATACAGAGATGGGATATTCCTTACCTAAGAACTTCTACCTCTCTCTTTATTGCATCTTGGCATGATGGAAAGATACTTCTCTTCAGCGTCACTTTCATATTGTGCCATTCTGCGGACACTAATTCGAGAAATTGACTTTCAGTGCCCACCATATTTCCGATTTCGAATATTTCCGAAGTCTGTATATGTGGTACACCTGATATAAACTGCGATTGTTCCTGCGATTTTTCATTGCCTTTTTTAGACGATTGGTTGGCGTTTTGTTCTTTAGGACGATAAATAATCCAACCCGGGTCATTGATGTCTCCGTTCGGTGTGTGGCAGCTACTTGTAAATTGTTGTAATAGATTTCGATAATATTCACTGTAAAAAAACAACTTACAATAACTATCACTTGTTTACAACAAAAATTTATTTTCTCTTAGAATTCTTCTAAATATTTTCTATTAAAAAATCATCTAAAATCTATATTATTCTTATAAAATGTTCGACAGTTTGTTTAATGAACGATTAAAAATATGCATTTAAAGCTTCTCAATATTTCAATAAAACTTTTCAGAAATAAAAAATAAATAAGCATTGCTATATATATTAAGCACCATACATATTAATCAAATTCTATTTTTCATTAAAAAAATTGTTTAATTACGATCAGATTGCTATGTAAATGCATCTTAAAGTATTATTGTCTTAATGTTTATAATCATTTTTATTTTAATATAGTAGTACAAATTATTGCAATAATAAAAATAATAATATAATACATATTTCATACATATTGTCAATTTCAATTCATATATATAATTAAATAATTAAGCACTATAGTAATAATTCAAAAATGAAAATTTTCATCAAAATTAAATATAATTATATTGTCATGTAGATACGTTCGCGGAGATAATAGTTTTTTTGGTATAGATTTATCAAAAATTACCGAACAATATTGGATACATTATTCATAATTAATTTTTATATTATTATATTATTATTATTTTTTCGTAACAAGATAAAAATGAAATAACTGCTCGTAGAAGAGGAACAAAGAAGCGCACACTGAATATGATTATCCGCACAACTGAGGGAACAAAATGCTCGTAGTAATGACCATAGTATAAGCACCACTATCGCGTTATGCAAACGCATAACCGACTTTGCAATTTACAGATACATCGAGCGTTACGTCGTAAATATACATAGATAAATTTGACGAATATTTGTGTAACGCTCCTTATCTTCCCGAGATATGAAAACCTTATTTTTTTACATGTAATTTTGATATTAAAATTCTGATAATAAAATGATATAAAAGATGAAAAGAACAATTGTTAACTTAAAAATGTTTTCTACAACTTAAAATAAATCCGAAAAAAAAAATTTTGAAGAAAAATCAAAGAATGTGAATATATATTATGTAAATTAAAAGTAATTTAAGGTGATATATTGAAAGAGATTATAAGAAAAATTTAAGAAAAATTATGAAATAACAATATAAAAATTAACAGATTGAAGGATTTATAGAAATATTATATTTTTGACACACTTTCAAGAAGATTGAATTAATGAAAAATGATTAAAATTAATTAAAATAGAGTCAATCAAATACATATAAGAAAAATCATAATATTCATGCATTATGTATTTTCAAAATAAAATTTTTAATAAATTCCACTTTTTAATTACTATAAGAATCATTAGTAGCTGCTGAGATATGTAGTTTATGTGATAAATTCACCTGAGATTTCGAGGAATTGCCTTAACTTCGGTCTTAAATTCGAGATTTTCCATGACTGCAGAAAAGCGAACTAATATTTAGCGTTTTCTAGAAGATGTTTGCGTAATAATATACAAATGCTATACAATGTTGAAGTAACGTTAATAGAGTGAACGCAAGTTAATGACATTACATTTCGTATAAATAAAGTCTTGCGAAAATGTACTGTATGAAAACACAATAATCAATTTAGATATCAGCAATAATACGTTTATGTAGATCTTTTATCCTTTTACTTTGTTAAACCACTTGTTCACTCTAACCTACTTATTCAAGTAAATATTAAAATGTATGCGTAGTATTTAACCTATTATCGTATAGAGACCGCTCTATTTCAGTGGCGCGATTCAAATTCGAACCTTCGAGCTTCTGAGCTTTCCCGAATTGTGGCGCTGCAAGCGCAAAAAAAAGCGCGAAAATTTAGAAAATGTTTAGAATGACATTAGAGACAACCACTTCGATTAAAGTCCAATTAAACATAATTAACAGTTTCAATTTATCAAGTGATATAATTGCAGTGTTGTTAATACATATAATTATTGATTTTGTGATATTCGACAAGAAAATGGAAAGAAATATTACATTACGTAATAATTTTAATTATATTCCTTAGGTACAAGATTATTAAAATTCGATCATAAATTATGCGATTTGCAAATGTAAAAAACAAAACACAATAATGTAATTATTGAAAAAGAATTGCTAAAAGTATCACACACACAAAAATCTTTTTTTATTTTGGCTTCTTTTAATAGTTTAAAAAGGAGTCATCGAAAATCAGAAAGTAATATAGCATATTTCATCGTTGATTAGAAATCAATTAATTATCTCTACGTGTGAAAAGTTTTATAATACACATTCTAATTATTATATCAATAATTATAAGTGAATACTTACTTGCTACCTTGCAATGCAGACTGTACACCCCTCTCCGATCGCGCAGTTCTGAAAAAGAATGACAGATTTAAGATTTCTAAATATTTAGCATTCTTAATCGTATCTTCGAATATACAATCTTTCTTATCATGAATAATAAAGTATTTTCAACTCCGTCGATTTTTTTTTATATATATTATCGAAATCTCAGATTGCTTTCTTATTTATTTCTTATAATTGTGTATTTTTCACAATATAACAATATAAGTTATTCGTATTATTGTTTAAAAACTTTTTCAAACAGTTATAATCACTAGTTTCACTACTTGTGAAGGAAATTGCTTTTAGCAGAAAAATATTGCTAAAGTTAATCGATTACTAAAAATGACTAATAAAATTTTAAACAAATTATTTTCAATTTTATTAATTTCATTTAATGTTTCTTTTCTTTCCCTTCTCGTTGCTTTTATATTTAATATTTATACATATATGTATGTGTGATACGTTATTATCATAATATTATGTATATTATCAGAATTATGACAAAAATATATAGATATAATGTATAAAATATATAATTAGATATGATGTATAAAATATATAAAAAATATGTAATTTATCTTGAAATTATAACATCAAAAATCTAATTAATATATATATCCCATTAATCGAGTTATACATGTTTATGATTAACACACTTTTAATTGAAAGAAAAACTTGAATCTGTTGCAGGACTACAAAAGAACCGTTATTAGTTTCTATTTTTTCATTCATATAAACATAATAGTAATAAATTCACTTTAACTATCTCATATTTCATGGATTTTATTTATAACCGAATCAATTAATATATTTTTCGTTTCTTTCAATAAAATACACTTCGGTATTACATAAATTTTAATAAGAAGTTTTGACAAACTTGAGATTTGATATCACTTACTTTTTGGCCCATTTGAACGGCAATAGTTTCTTCATAGTGCACAATTCGCGAAGCAATGTATCGTGATAGCTGTGATACCACACTGACTTTTAAATTAGGTTTGTCAATCTTAAGGTCCTTGATTTCAACCTTAAACAGGACACGAAAATCATCAAATCTATTCTGTTTGTAAATAATTTCATCAATTTTCACATACATATACGATATTTATACTTGGTACAAGGGAATAGATGTGTAGTATTATTGTTTAGAATATAAGATAGAGAGACGAAAATAATGAAATGTGTCGACACTTTTTAAGAATCTTATCTCTCTTCTTTTTATTTCATAGATGCTATTTAAAATTATCATCAAATTTTTCTTAATAAACAAAATTGATTTAACATTTTTAAGAAAAAAATCCAAAATTTAAATTTAATATGATAATTAAATTGATAATTAAATTATTTAAATTATAAAATATAATATACAATCAAAAGATATCTTAGATAATAGATGCCAGTTTTCCAAGTTTTTTCTAATGAAAAAAGATTGTATATTCAGAGATACTATTTATTGTATATCCATCACGATCATTTAAAAGTATATGTATAATCCATTTCCACGATTAAGTATCGTTTAATTAAAATATACTGCTTGTTCTGATAATACTAGCATATTTATCAATGAAATCATAATTTATTAGTCAATACTTTTATACATATATCATTTAAGACAGATTTTATAATTTTTATGGTTATTAAACATTTATCATATTTTTGAGATTAAATTGTATTATTTGCATACTTCAGTAGACAAAATAATAACTTTAAAATTTGCATGATATGATACGATTTAGATAGGTTGTAACATTAATCTCGTTTTTGATTTTGTGCTCGCTCTAAAAAACACAGAAAGCGAGCTTAAATGAATATATTTCGATAAGAACTAAAATGCCTTAATTAGTGAGAAGGAAAGAAAATATATAAAAAATACTTTTTATAAAAATAATTAACGAAATGTCACGCATTCAATTTTTTAAATTCATTTGCATATCAAACATCTGATTTATGCAGTTTTTGCATTAGATTTCAACTCCTAATTTCCATATACGATTGCAATAGAGACAGAACATATGTAGGTATAATTAGAATATACATATATGTATAATAAATATATAAACTCGTAAGTCAATTACGTGTTTGCTAACAATAAATCAAGTACTGACCTGGCCTATGTCTGCGCAAACATACTTATTACTGATATTAATTATTGAGCGACAACGACATTATTCAATTAAAAAATAACAATCTTGATAATGATAAATTGAGTTGAGAATTGCATATTAATTAATCTTAAAATATACTAATATATTAATTAATTTAAATGTATGGATAATTTTTACAATATTTTGACTCTTTAATCAACGTATAATCTATGTTAAATGTATCAAGCAAGTACAAATAATCTATTGTTAAAATTAAGGTTGTCAGTTGTATTCTAGAAAGACAGTTTCTTTGTATACCGGTAAATTTCAATAAAAGAGATGATAATTTCGGTGCTCATGAATTTCAACGGATCTTTTTGTCATCTTTGCCCAATAGGATAATGATCATTCATTCATCATCTCAGTCAGTGCACATATAATAGTTTTATAAATATCAATTTTATAGTAATTTTAAGTGAAATTTTATAACGGCACGGACTAAGTACGATAAATACACAGTCTCATGTGACTCGACTTAAGGAGAAGATAATAGCAGTCATTACAAACCGCGAATACATAAGCCAGGTTGAAACATCTAGTTTAACGGTATGATGCCCCCGGTGCCTAAACTCCTAGGGGGGCATCCGACCGCTATTCTTTCGGCCGTAATTAGCTCGTGTCTTCGATACGCTCGAACTTTTCGGAACATTTTCACGGAATGGAAAGTAGATCTCTTCTCCGCGTCGCAGAGAAACTCGGAAGCAAATCGCAGAGTCTCTTTCTCGTAACTGCATGCTCTTCCGCTTATGTTATTCAAATTGAATCATATATATATATAATCATATATAAGCGCAATTTCTTACATAAGTGCAGCTCTTGCACTTGCATACATCGATCAAGAAGGAGCTGATATCGATTAATTATCTTTATGTAAGCTTGTAATTAAGATCTATCGTGATATATTTCTCTGCGTCCAATGGCAACTGGTAATGAATATATTAATTCATTTTTTAACTGCATTTCTTAAGTGGTACTTATCGAGCTCGCTTCTGCAGGAAAAAGTTGCATAAATGCATAGTAAACAAAATGTCAAAAATTCGTTATAAAAAAGATATTTTGATGAACATAAGCGTAATTATTATCTCATTGAAGTGATATCAGACTATTTCACTCAAAAAAAATATTTGTTGCTTATCTGATTATTATATACTATTATATACTTTCTTTATCATGCTACTTGGTCATGTTGAAAAAAATTTTGATATTTATTAGACATGAAAATATAACTATTGTTTAAAGAATAATAACATATAATCATTTATATAAAAATATTTTGAAATTAATTACATTTAATTACATCAAATTAATTACATTTTTTAATCAAAATATATTTTACTTAAATTTTTGTTAAAATTTAAAAAATTATATATAAATTTTTAATTTCATATGACAATACACATCTCGCGTGATAAGAAATTCAAATAAATATCAATAAGAAGTTGCATAATATTTGTTGTAATAAATTAAATAAATATTTTTTGTTTGATGTCAACACATTGAAACACTACCAATATAGCTAACATTCGTTATATTTAATGTACAGAATAATTTTTTGAAACTCTTTTCTTTATCTCTATCTTTATTTGTTTGATACAAATGTCCTCGACCTTCACCTCATATATGTATACCGAATGGTATAAACACTTTCCGTTTTCTTAAGTTAAGAGATTGTTCAAACTGCTAAATATATATCAAAATATGATATTAGAAATAATAATAGATCAAAATAGATGTTAAAAACAATTAACGCACATACACACACATATATATATTAAAAATCAAAATTGAAAAAATTTTGACAAAATTTTATTCGCGACACTCTAAAAAATTTTAACATATAGTGAACTTATATCTTGCAATATAATATTATTTTCACACATGTATAAACATTTCAACATTATCTTGAAATATAATCATTTGGATGAGATAAATTTACTACAGAAAACAATTTTTATCCTATGCTACAATTAAAAACTTTAGTTATACAAATATTGACAGAACAAAAATGTAATTGGGAAAATAATTCAATTAAAAATGTAGGCGTTAAAAATAAATTAATTAAATATAAATTCGAGTAATTAAATTGAAAGATTGAAAAGTACATGAACCTTCATGCTTCCTCCAGCATTTCATTAATATCTTTTTCCAATTTAAAATAAATAATAACTTACTTGAACCATTTGGCTATTTTACACACACCCATGTTGTACAATAGTCGATATTCTCGATATATTAGTCGGTATTTTCAATATAAAATCACAGCAGGTTGATTGACATCGACGAATACTGCGATAATAACGCGAAACGAGAATTGCCGAGAGTGCGGCACGATCCGCTTCCTTTTCACGACTAAACTGCGAAATTGTGGTAGCAATGTACACGGACGGCTACTTCGGTCTTGACAATTCCGATGGGCGTTGTTCTAGGCAGTGCTGTTTATTCACCCATCATTTCCGCTCCATTCCTTCATACTGTTATTTTCAATTGTTTGGCTAACATGTACTGTTATTTTCAATCATTTGGTTATGCTAAAAATAGCCCAAATAAACTATAGAAAGAAGAAATTATTTATCAAAATACATTGTCCAATTCGCGGCCCAAGTACCTACAAATAATTACAAAGAATTAAAACACAAAATTGTACAAAGGATTGCATTTTGCAAGTGATTTACAATTTTCAAAACTTTAAAATAAATCTTAAATTTTTCATGAAAAAGAATATTTAATAATAAAAAATTTTTTTATTACAATGCGATAAATGATGCATTAATAACTCAATTAACAATCCTTGGTTTTTTTAAATACAATGTAGTACAAAACAAAATGAACAAAGAAAAAATAAGCAAACACACACATATATACATACACATATACATATACATACATACATACATACATATATATGTGTATGCACACTTTTTAATTTTATTAAATCATATATATATATATATATAATTTAATAAAATTCTGATACTAATTGCAACATTAATTTAATTTTATGAAATTTCGAGTATCTGAACATATTGTTCAAAAACAAGTTATTAAGTAATTAATATGAAGTAGTTAATAATAATTAAATGAGATTTGTTGCTCATTTAATAAATGATTAATCTTTCTGGATAGAGTCATTCAGTTGACATGCGACAAAGAGTGCAAATGTATGTCTCGCGATAATTTGAGGTAGTCGGCAAGCTGAATTCTTAGACAGTAATTACACAATTCTGAAACTAGCAAGCTTTGTACAGAATCTTCGTGCGTAACGAAGTGTTCTGATACCACATCCGGAATCTACGAAGTGGCGCGCCTTTTTTCATCAGCTTGGAAGTATATCTCATGAGAGCATACCGACACAATCGGTGCGATGACTGATAACATGTAATTACGAGCAGTCGGCGGCAGTACAAACATAAAATCGCACTATTGTGTGTGGGACGTACTGTATTTTGTGACTCGAAAGCAAGGGCAAGATGCGATGTCAATTTTATCTTTACAATGTAATTGTCTCCACAATTCTGAATATATTTAACTTTGCTTATAATATTTCGTTAAATTTGATAATGAGATGAAATTTGATTTCTATCGGACGATAAATAATAGATTTGTCCTTATAACAATGTTCTTGTTAAAACATTTAATTCAAAAAGCCAATTAAGCAAGTTTTTTAAATACAACTGGTTCTTTATTATATTTTTTTTTATAACACAATTTATAACATGCGCACAATTTATGTAACGCTTAAATACTTTAACTTTGACAACGAATTTGCGCAGATTATTTCAGAAATCGTGCACTTTGTTTAAATTAAACTAAAAAATGATTGTTTCAATATTTAAAGAAATAATTACAACAATAATTTACTATTAAAAATTTAGAATTGTTACGAATTAAAATACAAGAGAATAATTACAAAAAAATTCTTATAATCTAATTTATATACTAATTTTAAACATAATTACTTTGAATATTTTCATGATAATAAGTTTTATAGAAAATAGAATAATTTCTGATTTTGCACTAAGAAAAAATACTGACTTTAGATTTGTTACAAAATATATACATATGTATATATACAAATTGCACGAATTCTAAGTTACCCTAAAATGATCTATAGAAAATGACTTTGCTGATCGCTGAGAATCTTTTATGTTTATGAGATAAGTAGTTATAGAGACACATTTTTTTATCATGAGATTATACAATAATTTAGCAAGATACTACAAGAATAAAATATTTAATATTAAAGGCATTGCAAAACAATAATTTTTATCCCTAATATTTTCTTGTTAATTTTTATTATCCGCAAGATAACTTTTGATGCTTATTATCAGTAAGAATGCAAAAAATACCGATTTTTTTATTCGGCTCGCTTTTATATCATTAATAATAATTGCTTTATATATAAATTATTTATGTAAAATAATTTATATATAAAATAACATTATTATAGATTCAACTCATAAAATATTACCTTATCATTAGAATAAATATTAATATGAAGATAGGCAACTATAAGACAATCCGGTAATAATCAATATTATTATTACATGTGAAAACCATATAATCGCTGTTTTCACAATTCTTTGTTGCACCATCGATTTTCCATTAGGGCGCCTTCATCTCTTGTTTTACGCAAAATTTAAATGCTTCCCAACCCTCATTACGTTGTTGAGACTATAACAAATCGAATTATTTCATAGTGATTACATTTTTACATATTCTAAATTCGTCCAAAAGTATATATTTGATGCCTGAAAAACGGCAACCATTCGTACAGTGTTGTTTTTGTACAGTATTCAAAATTTTTTAAAAGTTATTACATATATTTCTGCAAAATATTATAAATTTTAAAAATATATCTAAATTCATTTCTTACCTTGAAGCCTCTATGTAATCGATCTTTCATAATTGCTATAAACTCTTTATAGGAAAGTTGACCATCTCCGTCTACATCAAACAGGGCAAAGACTGTATCAATTATGTGAGTCGAAAGCATTGATCCTGTACATATTTTTACGGCCCGTTGAAATTCATCTAAACAAGATTATATTCAAAAAATGTTTCAGAGAATTTACTTAAAATTCATTTAAAAAGCAATTTGTGTTTAATTTAATATAAACAAGTATGTCCAATGTATTCGTAATGAATATTTCTAATATTGTAATCTAATATTTGTAATCATTTAATATTTTAATTTTTTACCTTTTGATATAGGATGATCCGCTAATGTGTACATTCGCATCGCTATAGAAAAATCATCTAGGTTGTTCAAAAACTGATAAAAGCGTCGGAATTCCTCGAATGTGATACCAATATGCAAGTCTGCTCGATCCAACATTCTGTCCAAGTATTTATCGTACCTATGCATTTAATTATTTAACTTATTTTATGCAATTTCTAATTTTTAATTAAAAAATACAAGTAACAAAGTATTTAAATAAAATTTTTAATAGCGTTTAGCTTGATTTAAGAAAGAAAAGTATATAACGTATATGACGTATATGACATTCAATAGAATAAAAAATGCTAATATATATATGTATATAATTAAAATATTTTTTTTATATCTTTAAAGTAAATTTTTAAAGTAAATAAAGTTTTTATAATTATTCAATTTACTCGTCAGGTTCGAGGTATGTATATCGTAATAAAATCTTAGCGAAATCCAATTCGTTAATCGTATTGTGTCCTTTGCTAAATTCATGAAATTCCAGTTCTAATATTTCATGCTGCAAGTTCACCATGAAGCGTTTGAAATCTTCATATCTCAATTCATTTATACCATCTTTACCAAAGAAATGTACCATCAATGTAGTATCCACAGCATGACGTCGTTGTAAACCCTATATCACATAACGTGAACATTAATATTCATAAATGTGTTCATCAAGAAACTTTTATTGATTTAAATATAAAAATTGTGTGTTGCCTAATTTTCTCAAGTTAAAATATTCTTTAAGATGTAACAATTTTCTAAGTGTAAAGATATTTAAATTGTAAAATATAATTCTATAATTTATATTGTACATATTATTTTTTTTTAATAATCAAAAAGTGTGAATTATCATCCGAACAAAATTTAAAAAAAAAATTAATCTACGTTTTTATAAGGAAATTAGTTTAACGTTTTCACTCTCGATTAGTGAATTTGCTAATTCTCTCTCTTTCTCTTTTATTTATTCTATAACATTTTATCTTTATATCGTATAAACATAAATAATATCATGATGATACCTGATCATCGTCGATAAATTGACCTTGAATTTCTTCCGGTGTTTTCTGACGTTCCTGTAATTGTTCCAATTCCTCTTTGGTTTCGCATCCATGGCGACCCCTCCATGCGTGACTAAATATCTTTTCCATCTGTATTGAAGATAAAGATATGAGAAGAAATAATTGTTATCATGAAAAAATACGAGATATTACTTAGATATATTTTTTATTAATCATTTTAGCATATCATATTATATGCTAAAACAAAGACAAAGTGTGAAACAGCATAATTCAGCGTCCAGAGTTAGTGCATCTGAAATATGCAAATAGTGTTAGTATAGCAATTATTAATAGACACAGATAGGCTGATAAGTTGCATATTAATATATTCAATGCGAATATTGACAAGATTTGAGGTAGATCGATGATGATTATATTAACAGATGATATTTGATTATGTTCAATCAATGTGCATACACCAAGAAAATTATTTACATTATATATAAATAATTATATATATTCCTAAAAAATATATACTGCTTATATTCTATAAATAGATTAATATCAAACGCAATTTGTTTAATACTTTATTATTAATTTTAAAAAAACTTGTCATTTTTTATTGTATTTTTTATTCTGTTTATGTAAATATTATACAATCTTTTAATTGTTGCAATTCTTAAAGAAAAAGAATAAAAATATTAAATATTAAAAAAAATCTTAAATAAATGTAAAATGTAAAATAATAAAAAATTATTGCATAGAGAGATACCTAAAATTAAATATTATGTACATTAATTGTTTATAATATTATTATTATATTGTTTATAATATTATATAGATTAACTGTTTAAATATATAACAGATATTGATTTACAATTCTTCGTTGACTTACATAAGAATTTGAGGTAATTTCGTTTGATTTAATCGGATGAGTTTCGCGAAGTTTTGCCTTGCACGGATTCTCTTCACCGGGAGCAATTATGGCACGTAACTAATTTTTCGAAATAAATAAGAAAACATTAGTTAAAAAAAATAATGCTAATTAAAATTGTAATAAAATAAATATATTAATTAAAATTATAACAAAAATGTTTGTGTAATCAAAAATAATAAATTGTAAATACAATTAATAATAAACAAAAATAAAACTTAATAATGAATACTATATATCTGTAATACATGATTACTTATTGTGAAGTACATTTTTTTTAAATATTTGAAATATGATAGATCGTAAAAATTTTATCAATAAATTCTGAAAAAAATTGAATTATTTTAAAATCGACATGTATAAAGTATTCTGAAAAAATCAATTAATATTTACACACATATTGCATGCAATTATTATATATATATTATTTCTATAAAATTTAAAGCACTTTTTATGCGAAATAAATCAAATAGTAAATTTAAAGCACTTTTTATGCGAAATAAATCAAACAGTAAATATCAAATTATAATCATTAAATAATTTTATAATTAAAAGAGCCTTAATGGCATTGTATCGATTTCCATTGTATCGATTTTCTAATCAAACAACCGATTGATTAATAAACTTTTGACACCGCCCTGATTGAAACAAAAAATTGATTAAAACTCACTGCACATTTCGTCAGCTCGTCAAGATCTCGTTCCTTTAGGCTGCCACCGAGTAAACGACGAATCTGTGAGAATGATAAAAACTCTCTATTTTAAATCGATAATTAGTATAAAAGTTTCTTAGTGGTTGAAGTTCTTCCTTGTTGGTAAGCGTTCCTTCTGATTAGTGTAAACTGCAAATAAGTTTTTATTTGATGAAAACTTACTTTTTGCATTTTTGAGAGAAAGGACATTTCCGAGCATTTGAAAAGAGATATCTTCCTCTCTTCTAACATTAAAGCTTTAGAACTTTAAATCTTGAATATGCTACAGTCGTGTATTTATATCAAACAATGTAAACTTTGTAATTGTGGCAGTAGAGAGTAGGGTACAAGTTAACTATATCCGAAATTTATATTATTAAATGAAACTCAGAAAAAATAAATAAATAAATGAGAAATAAAGTATTAAATGAATACATGTCACAAAATATTCATTTAGAATAGTTATTATATAATGTGCATTGCTATTAATAAATAATTACGTTTTTACTGAAAAAATATATAGTTTTACGTAAAATAATCTGATAATTTCCAAAAGAAATTTTTCTTCGTTGCTATCAAAATCATGCAAATTACAGCAATTTCAAGCTTTATTTTGCAAAGTAAAATAAAAAAAAATAACGAACACATTTTTATTAATAACTTTAGTATTCTATGTCATTCTATCTACAATATTGTAATCTTTAGGTTTCTACAAGCAATCACTAAAGCATGCACATATACGATATGACTATCTTACCACGAGGAACTCAGTTTTGTCGACTCTTTCATTTCCATCAGTGTCGAACATGTTGAAGGCGATTTGGAAACCAGTTTTCGGCTCTACAACGAGATCGATTATCACAGTAAATTTATAGCAGTATATGGAGATGCTCAATATCAACAAAGTCATTTTGTAACGCGTGATATTTACATAAAATACTACTTAAAATTTTCTTCTGTGAACGAAAAAAAAAAAACAAGTTTATGTGTGAATTCCGATACAAAATATTAGAAATAATCTGCATTGCATCTTTATTTTATTTATCAATTTAAAAAATTTTTAAAACAATATTGATGCAGCAAAACGTTTTTTAAATTATAAAATTGTACCAAAATCTAGAGTTAAACTTCTAATTTATATGCAACTAATAATATGATATTCCTTATTTAATTTTAAGAACTTTCGTTCTAATAAAATTTTATCTTAAAATTATATAACTACATAAATATGTAGAATTTAATATTAAAATTTAATATTAAAAAAGAATATTTCATTTAAGCGTTTTATGCATTTAAATCACAATTTACCTTATAAATATGTTTATAGCTATTGACAAGAAACTTACTCGTCAGAATAGACAGAAGAAACAAGTACTCCGTGTAAGAAATAATTCCTGAAAATAGAAACGTTAACGATTTAAAATTGCAAAGTAATCTAATAAGTTTTAAAAAAGATAATAGTATTTTTTATATATATTTGTTATAATTTTTATGTTAAATTAATATATACCGAAATTTACTGTTGGACTAAATGTTTTCTGTAATAAATAAATTTAGGCAATATCACACGATTCGCCTCTATGTAAATTCCTTCCTAATTTCTTCGAACTATTCCTTCATTTTCCTGCTTTAAATTATAATCCGCACATAACGCGATTTAGACAGATATAATATTAAATGTGTTTACGACATCTAGTACCGAATACAAGACATTAGTGTCGAAATGTTAGACACGCCTTACAAGATCCCAGATATTTTTGAGAAAGTTATTGCCCTCGAGAAGAATCAATAATTTAAAATTTAATAGCAAAAGCGAGATTCGTGGACCTTAAATTCTGATCTTAAATATATTCTCTTATGCCCAGTTTTAGCTTTCTTGCATATGTATTATAACAAAAGGGCTACTTTACAGATCATAGCCACCTCATAAAATCTCTTAATGATTCTAAAAGCGAAGAAACTTAACGGTCAAAAGAAAATTAAGAAAACAGCAGTGTCGACAAATCCACTGGTAATATCCTCTGCATGTAAATCTGTTATTTCGTTCCTGCTAACGTGCCATAAATACTTTTTCCATCAGAAATATATATTTGTAGAATTAATAATAAAGCAAGATGATATATATAATGACGTAATTATTTAAATATACAGTATTAATAATACTTTTCATTTTTTATATCTTATATTTTTTTATTATATATCAAATAATATTGAATATACAAATTTTAATTTTTAAATTTAATTTTAAATATTTAATTTAAGATTTATGATATATAAATTTTTGTATAAAATTTGTATAAATTTCTTTTATTAATTACTTGTAAAAGAAAATGAAAAGTCAGTATATTTTATATCGACTTTTGAAACATTTTCCATATATTTTAATTATATATTATTTAATTATATATTTTATCTTGCTTTATCATTTTTATGAAGACTCTTATAAAGGCTTACAAAATTATTTAATAAGAAAATTAGGCAACCAATTCTAGTGTTTTTAAGAGAGACATTTTGAGTATTGAAATGTAAGAAATTATGATTTATGATATTCGCGCAATATCGCGATTATTCTATCTCGAAACAATCGGTGAAATAATTGTGATGAATGATTGACAAATTCTTTAACATATCGTTAATACGACACGACGTGGCGGTTCGATAGCTTGTAATTTCCTTAAGTCGTCCTTAATTGTAACGACTTTGCGAACGTATACGAAAATCTTTAAAAATGGTCCGCGGACTCGTTTCATCTGCGCTCGTGAAATTTCTCCTTGCATGCATACGAAAAAGAGGAAGAGGAAAATAAGAGAGGAAAAAAGTAGAGTGTCATACGGAGACGAGGAACTCGTTATTATTAAAGGGAGGTGTGAAACTGGTCGTGTCGCCAGTTCCGTCATCGGCCCGTCTGCTGATTATTTGCATTTCCATTAGCGCGACAAACGTGCATTGCACGCATAAAAAGCATGCGGAAACGCATTAAACTAATGATACGGCTCTGCGTCTGCCACGACGAGTGTTGCGTGGGTGGCGAAAACTTACTTATCGAACAAGTATGAGATATAAAATATAGGTTGTGATCGCGATCACGTTGATAGTTGTATTTATCGCCCGCATTTCGTCGAATCTTTTTTCCTCGTCGTATCGCATACTTTGCTAGAAAGCTCTCAGGTGCGAATAGTGACACCTGAAGCTTGCACATTTATCGTATCTTGCGAGCGTGAATTATCCCGTAGTTAGAACAAGAGGCTTATTTATTGTGCCACAAGTACGAAATAATTCTTACACGTATAACTCGATTTAAATAAAAATAAAAATATCTGAGATAAATATTTATGATTTTTCTAAGTCCAAATAAATTTTTAAAAATACACATATTTTATAAATTGTATGAATACTTATAAATATTTCCATTTTGCACGATTATTATTCGCTATTATTATACATATGTGATAAGTGTATATTTGTAAACGCTTACCTTTGTCTCGCAAATTTCGGAACATATGCGTGCTTCCATGGTGTAGTGAGGAAGTTGAGTTTCTCATCACATCGAGTTCTTGATCGGTCAATACGCGTCTCTTTAACCTTGCTAAAAATAGAGATACTTATGCGTCAAGAAACGTTTATTAAACATAATGATTGAATATTGCGTTTTTAATAAGGATTTGTTCCAGAAAGCATATATTAAAGAGATGCTACAAATTTTCGGAAGTTACATAAGCTTTGTTTTACAGTTCAAATAAAATAAAATAAATTAGCAACGTCAAGAATAAATAAAAAATTTCAAATTTCTTTGTGTAGAAAAAAAAGATTATTTCTCTCTCCAAAAAATATATTAAAAATAAAATACATACATATATATATAATTTTTTTTTTAAATAATGAGAAATTATATGACCGAATTATTTTGAAACTCTCTTCTGTATTAATTTTCTTTTCATTCCGTATCTTTATAACTAAACTGATGAAATTCTATTTTATAATATAATTCATTATTATATATGTATTTAAATGTAATGTTTGTTACGTACGTCGAGGTTCAGCATCAATGACACTGTCAAGAAAATCCTGCGGAGTCATGTATAATTGACCATCGTATGACACTGATGCGAACTTTATGAATCTTCTCTCCCTCGTTGTCAGCTTTACTGCTTTATGAAAGTCATCTTCTCTCTGCAACAACAAATGTTGCAATGCCTTTTTAATTTACAAAGAACAAATAGGAAAATATAATAAAAAATTGAAACATGTTGATGCAAAAGTTTTCAAGATTTGATTTGAACAATAATATTACGGTTTACATCTTTACATATCGTAATCTAAACTATTTCTAACTTTTATTACTTAATTTCTTCAAGAAAATAGAGAAAAGCAAATAATTTGCTTAACTATTCATCAATGTGTCAAGAACAAACATAGCGCGCATGCGAATTTCTCCCAATCGCATGCAAGGTGCACGTGTAAATATAAACGTATAAATTCACGCTGATATTTTTCATACTCGTATCAGTACGATTTCTCTTTACTTTATTTAAATGAACAAACCAATCACAGTTATATGCTTTAGCAGTGGTGATCAAATTTTCCCTAATTTTATGATATTTATTTTAGACTTTAAAACTGTTTTATAAAATTTGTAACAAGATTTTAGATCAGACAAATATTAAATCTTAATTTTATAATCCATGACAAATTTTGCGCGTCATATTATTTTAAAGTTATTTATTATGTTATATTATGTATTAACTTTGAGAATTCCTGCATCAGTTTGAAATTAGATTCACGCAGTGGAGTTATAATTTCCAATGTTAAGGAGATTATCTAATCACAAACGCCGTGACGACAGATAGTATATGATGCAGATTCTATCTAGGCCATTTTCTATCTAAAGCACGTTGCATTACGAGAATGGTTAAGCCGATAGTAATCTGCATACAGTAATTTATGTAGTTATATTTAGCGTACGCTTTCCATTTATTTATTTTACATGTAATTTATTGAGTTTATCGCTTCGAAAACAATTTTATATCGTTGTATTCGTTGGTTTGACGTTTGATGACATGTTTTCGTGATAAATAATAATTATCACTTAGGCTGTTATATTGCTATATATATATTGAATATTAATGGCTATTAAGATTATTAAATAATTATGAAAATAGTTTAATTATGAAAAATAGAAAAACATTTTGAATTTTACTTAAATACATATTTAACTATTTTTTAAAATCTGATTTTAATATATATAATTAGACTAAAAAATAATTTCAAAATATAATATTTAATTGAGAGAGGTACACTTTAATATAAAAAAATTGATTATTCCATACTATTTTTTAAGAGAATAAATAAAGACACCTCGAATTCTGTCCATACTCTCTCTTGTCAATTTAAATATGAATTAAAATTCAAACAATTCGCTGACAAGGCCGACGAGATAGGCAAGACATAACATCATTTTAATTTACATTTTTAATTCCCTCGCTTTTTCGAGGAATAGCGCGTGCTGTCATTTTGTTCAACAACAAGTTAACTGCAAATTAGTGACAGATATATTTTTATGGCGTATTTAAAAATAAAGAAATAAAATGAAAAAACGAGAATTCAGTATCTTTCATTCAATGCTGATTCTTAAGCTTAAATTCGCATGAATGAAGATATATCTTTAGTATCATCATTTTGCTATTAATTTAATACATCAACTATTGATTACAAAATTAATTCATTTTTTTTATTTAATAAAACGCAATAATTTAACTACGATCAAATTGATATATGTAATTAATCAGTACAAGAAAAAATGATATTGATTACTAACAATAAGTAAAATAGTGTAATTTTTAATTACATTTATATATTATATTTCACTTAAATATTATATTAAAAATTTAAAAAAATGTCATACTTTTTCTTCATTTTATAAAATTTATCAATTTTCGCATTTTTATGCACATGCAGAAAAACAAGATAATAATCCTTTATTTATCAACCGCGCGTTTTAATATAGTGTAAGGGAAAAAATAATCCTGAAGTCGTATCCTGTTTAAGATTAAAGGAAACGGCATTTGGTCTTAAATCAACAGAAATTAGCTAAATGATAGCGCGTAACACTCCGTAGATAGAACTATAATATCATGAAATATGACTGAAAAACGTATACGAAAACTGCAAGTGGCGAACAAAGCTTCGCTTGCGAATGCAATTCGAGTCGTGCCGCCCCGGTGGGCGGTGGTGTGTCGTACTGTCTATAATTTAAAGAGAGATTAAATTACAAATGAGCTTCCACGGGTGCCATTCGCGCTCGGCGCTTTCGCGTTCTTGTTTTAATAAACGCTTTAAGAATGCCTTGAGGGTGGATGGCGAAAAAAGAGAGAGCTCGCTCGGTTGGAGCTTCTCGAATTTCCGTTTCTCGGCGCTTCTTTTTGTTGGTCCCTCATTGTTATGGGTGCTCACCTACTTTGTCGGCAGAATTCTTTATTCCTATGTATCTTACCACGGTTATATATACTGTGACATATTTAGATCTTGTAATCTAAATAAAAATATAGATAATTCTATTTATAGATTCCTCTGTCATCCTCTCAATTATTATTAAGTGTTTGGAAAAAATTGTAGAATAAATTTGTGATGAGAAACTAGAGCATTTTTAATCAGCAATCTTTCTTACACCAAGTCATTTAAATTCGACTTTATTTGGCTGCACATGTAGCTTTATATATTGTACATAATGTATGTTACTATGTAAGTTGTAGTTAAGTGTCAAACGATATGCTGTCGCGAGATTCGCTTAACGACATGAATTTGCGATCCTGTCCGATCAAATTGAATCGTCTCAGACCAGGAAGCATCACGTTGCAGGGAACTCATTGCCGTTATACACCAAGAAGCTATCGAAGTTACTCACCTCTCATCACTTAAATTATCGTTATATTCAGGTGACCGGTTATCTTGCAAACATACCAGATTATACAGATTTTATTTATTCGCAAATAATGGAGTATTGTTGGCTGGTATAGCAACTTGAGCTTCCGTATAAGATGATCTCTTAAATGATATATTCATATCCTTCACAATCATCTATCGTCATTTTCAATCTTGAGATTCATCATAAATTTTCGATATTTTGACAAACAGGAAGTGAATAGAATTGACAAGTGTGCGAATCGAATTTTTAATTTTAAAAAATAATAAAATGTTCAAGAAAAATTAAAATATTAAAATATTCAAAAATATTAAAAAATATTCAAGAAAAAAACGATTATTGAATTCATATTTGATGTTTGACAAATATTTGTACCAATTATTACTTATTCTTCTTTAATTTTTAAAAATGCAATTTGCAATTTCAGATTTTTTCTTTCTTTTAGTGATTTTTTGAAATAGTTGTAAATATTTTACAGCCATCTCAGAATCGCGTATCCTCGGCAAGTTATGTTTGTCATTCGATGCATTTCCATAAGTGCCATTGTAACCAGATATTCCTTCGAGGATCAGGTGTCCTTTCGCAAAGTTGATTCTAAATAAATCATGTTTCTCATTGTGATAAAAAAATGCAACTATAAAGGTTTGCATTTATAATAATGATTTTCTTTCGTTGAGAGAGACCAAAATAATCTATTCTAAGTCTCCTTAAAATCGCTCAGTAAATTAAGCATGCAAATTATGTTGTTTAGAATTAATTAATGATGCAAATAATTGAATAAATTATTTTAGAACAACAATTTATAATATTATATAAGATTTATAATATATTATAGCTAACTTTTATACTATGGATGGTTCTACTTTATTAATATTATGTTAATCTTTTTCATGATATACCACCTTTTTTAAATCCAGACACGTGTCAGTTTTAAAAAATAATTCATGTAACCAAAAAATTTCAGAGTCCTTTATTTCGTAATCTCGCAAAATCTATTTGAAGCAGTAATGGGACCAAAACGAGGCAAGGATATTTCCATGATCATAAATCGATTTTTTCTCTCCTTTATAAATCCATGGGACCGGCAATTTATGAGGTACCAAGCGCCGTTAGGCTTAATCTCCTCCAGAAAATTCAAGAAACACATCATTTGACCGCCTATTCGCTCTTACAAATTAATACATGACAGAATAATAAAATAAATTTTATTGTTAAAAGAAAATTATCGTGTCTGTTGTACTCTGAGAAAGACTATCAGAATTTTAAAAAATTTTGCCAATTATAGTTACGTGGAAAACTTTGCAATTTTCTTGTTCAAAGATCGATGAATTTTTAAGAAAATATATTTATATTCTTACCGGATTTTATCAAAATGTCTGTTTTTATTTTATGCATTTATCAATATTTATTTAATGCAATATTCATTAATATTCATGCAATCAGATTCTTTCTCCCTACATAAGCAAAAAAAGATGGCAAAAATGATGGCAAATTCTATAACCCATTAAATCTCATCGCTTGTTATTCTCGCATATCTTAATACGATTAATTTCTCGAGGATTAGAACACTTAATCGGTGTGGCGTTAGTACATTCGAGGCCATCATTGATGTTCAGAGCGATACTTCGCAAATGCATCAGCGTATTTTTCCCCTGATGATGACGCTCGTTTTTCTGGCACGGAAATAAGACGCAACGACGAGGGCAAAAAGTGATCGCGTTGATTTAAGTTAAATCGCGCACGATCAATATTCCAAACATGTGACGTCCTCCCTTATGTTCGTCGTGATGCGAAGGTAACTAACGTCTGTTGGGATACGTCTTCGCGTGTTTATCAGGATTTCGCTGGGCGTTAGGTTGGCATGTTAGCGGTGTCATGGATAATGACAGGCGCGGTGAACATTATGCTAAGTGCGAGAGACCGAGTTCTTTTCGTCCTCTTGGATCTTTTTGCCATCTCCTCTCTCCTTTTTTCTTTTCCCTTTCGCTCGTTGCCCTCCTCCCGCCAATCATCAACGAGCACCACGGTGATTAAGGTCCTTTCCATCTAAGGCCCGTAAAACAGCCCGTCGAACCCTCTTTCCCTTTACCGGTTTCTCACCTCCGGAGGATCGCTCTTTTTCGCACTCTCCTTCCTCCCTTGTGGCTATTTAGTTTTCAATAAAGAAGCACGCGACGTAGAAACAATTTCCTCGAAGTTGTTTCATCTCGTTCTCGGTTTAAATCGATAGCAACGGCGATAGGCATCGACG